GCGTCTCGCGATGCTTGATCTCTTTCCCCTGGAGTACCGTCGCCTCCGAGGGGACCTAATTCTTACTTACGCCCTGTTTGAACAAAGCTTGGCAAACAGGTATTTTACCGTTGACCCAGCAAACACCCGGCGGGGGCATAGTAAGAAAATTTTCAAGCTCAGGGCACACACACTCATTATACAAAATTTTTTCATTTCGGGTAGTAGCTGCGTGGAATGACCTTCCTCCGACGGTTGTACACGCTCCTTCTAAAACCCAATTTAAAGCACTATTAGACACTTAATTATGTGAATCCTCGCGCTGGCAAGCATACTGCCCCGCGCTGAGAACATAAAGAGCAGTGCTACACCCTTTTTTCACATGTGCCTTTCAGGTGAACGACAGCCACTGACCGACAAGAACAAAACCGACCCGGGAAACTTGGGCAAAAGCCTCGATCCTGTGTATCAATCCGTGAATCCGTGAATCCGTTACGTGGATATGAGCAGCGGTTAGCTTAGGCACTGTAATGCACTGTTTGATTCAATATTGGATGACAACAGGGTAGGGAAATAGGCAAGGGATAACATAAGCGAGTTGCTTTCAGTACTCAAGAAATATGGTTACTCGAATTAGACTTTAATGCACGACCTTGTTTTAATCGGCGATCCTACGGTTGCGCGCTCTCAGACGTCCAGCGCCTCTGAGTCTGGACGCATACCTCGGAAATGGACACACCAATCAACAAAAAGGTGTGCTACTACTACGATGGTGAGTTTTTCACGACGCTTCCGGGTTCTTGCTGCTTGGGGGATGCCAAGGTGGATTTTCTATGTTATTGAGTAGATTCCCTATTCTCTGTAACAAACACCTGTACGTGGCTCAATTTTGATGGCCTAGTCACTTTCGGTAGCATTCACTCACTGTGATACACTTGCTCCTGTATAATTGGCAACAGCGTTTGTATTTTTTATGCCGTGCGTCTTGTTAGCCCAGTCGCTCGAGAATATAATTTGATCATACCAGGTATGATCAAATTATATTCACATTGTTATAAAGGCCAAATGGTTTACTCCAACTGGCCTTAAGGTGATTCACCTGGATCATGTAGTAAAGGCCAAAGGGTTATATGCAATTTTTTATTGAGACGGTCTGTCATTAAGTGGATGGCATGGATTCAATTTTTGATGTTTGTTCCATTCGAACAGAGGTCCTTGACTGGGGACCTAGGATTGATGGGGCTGCATTGGGTCTTCCAATGGTGGAAATCATCCACAACATGAAATTCTACTCCATAAATTAGTGGAATTTTTCCCTGCACAACGGGCCTGCTTACCTGCAAGACTAACCCTCTCGTTCGGGTTTGTTGATTAACATGCTGACCTTAACCTTACTGAAGTAGGGTATTACTAGGGTCGGTACTGCAGTGTCAAAGCTTCACGCGGCGTCTTGTCAGCTGTAAAGTTCTTGTTTGTTTTTCATGCCTTCCGGAACCTGCGCGGTTAGCTTTTTTTTACCTCCGACATTCAGCGGAGGGATGGGCCAACCTCCGGGATGTCTCGAATTACAACTGTCCAAGGGCGGTAATCGTCGTCGAGACTCTCCCGGACATCCATACAATGTTGGCTCCAGCGGTGTAGGTCATTAACTGCGTGTACACATCCAAAACCCGTCTTAACAGTGTCCACTCAGTTGACCACCTTGACGGCGACACCATTCTGGGCTTTGCTTAAGAGTGAAAACAGCTTCGAAGTCGTCTGTATTTTGGCGGATTCAGAGTAGTCTAAATCGGTCGATTCCATGGCGTCGACAATACGTTCCTGAAGGCGTTCTCTCGGGTTATTTGTTCACCTATGACACCCTATAGGTTCCTAGCCGCCATGCGAGCAGGAGGCACGAGGGTTGGGATACTGCCAGGTTGCCCAGGTTCGGACAGAAGCATTCGAGATGCTGTGTTTGGGTTAGAACCACGAACCTTCTAGTCCGTAAACTGTTGCCTTAACCATAGCGAGATGGCCCAAGTGGTTGGAGGCGAATTTACTGACTGGAATGTCCATGGTTCAAACCTGACGTCTACCTCTCTTTCAACCTCGACCTTCCGACTCTCCGCTTTCGGGAGGCATGGCAGTTGGGCACCGAAAGGGTGCTACAGCTGAATGATCTTTTTTAACAGTTGAGGCATCTCGACTGCGCCAGCGGTCGAGACTGTCCGTCTTGCGAGTGCCTGAGTTATGCAGTAACTAGATTTCGCAATCGTAAGGTAAAATAGATCAGATGATAGACAAATAGGTCTTTAGAAATTTATCTCTTCCGTCCCACAGTGCCATAGTTGTACCACTTTTTTGCGAGTATCGTCAGAGGGTTTGTGACCCTATATTTAACATGACCTTCAGGATAAATGGCTGACCTAGGTTCGGCGGATTTGAGTGCTGATGATGGGGAAACCTAGGTTCTTGAAGCGTTCGTGGGCGGAATAGACACACCGGAGACTAGTGAAGACCTGCCACAGACCGATGATCTGCAACTAAAACAAAAAAGTCGTCGGCAAGTTAATGATCCGTGCTAGGTACATTTTCTATAACCACCCCATAGCGTAGTGTCCGGCCAGCCCCAAAGTTGGGCACTAAGGAGGAAATCCACACCATCATTGACAGCAACGCCAGGGAAGAACACTCACCTCACTACCGCATAACTACGTCAATTTATTTCAACAGAGTGCCATAGTGTTAGGTAAAGATGGAACAGCGAGGTAGGTCTAGGGTTAACACACCACATATCCCCCAGCAATCAGTCGGACAATCTGGACAGAAATCGACAACATGAACGCCAATGACATTGGTTAGCTGCTGTAACTTTCACTGTCCCCAGCCAAAGACTGTAAGGGTTACGCGTGTCCAAACACGGAATATGGACAGTATCGTTAGTTCAAGACTTCGTAACCTCCCTTATTCCCATCTGCTACATCATCTGTACACCTCTAAGTTTCCGCCTCTTCAAATTAGATGCGGGAATCAGCGCTGTTGTTGGCAGATGGTAGCTAGACATGCGTAACACGGCTTCATCGCCTCAACTTGCAGTGCTGGGAACATTCATCAAGTGTAGTACCCTACAATTCTAATAATCTCATTTTGCTCCGCTGGTCCCAACTGGTTCCGACTGTATTTCCCAGACATCGGTAGTAAAAAACCTGAAGAAGTTTCGGTTCATCCACTCAAAGTGACTAGGTCTCGCAACGGTACAGTAATGCGGCCTGTATTGCGGCCTGATACACGCGTCTCATGGAGCTTCGTGATGTGCATTTTTCGGGCCACAAGAAGCACAGATTGTCGAAATCATCATCATCGACAGCATAACATCAACGTTCAACGCTGATGCTTCACTTCCATGATTTATTTGAAAGCCTTATTGTAAAGAAAAGAATAAAAGTGGACAATACTATTCCACCGACGTTGCCAGACGAACCGCACAGAGGCGACTATCAATAGGTATCCATCCAAGCAAGGATACTTCCGCCCGGTGACTTAGGACGATACCAACCCCTGCGCATCCCGCCGCAGCAGCCTCCGGATCACCAGAGGTGCGCATCCGGAAGCGAGTGGAGATTGACGGAGCGGTTAGTCAATCACTGTGCTTGAATCTTGAATTCTCGTTTCTGAGACAGCATACATCAATGCTAAGCGAGTCCAGTTTGAGAGCAAGAGCAGCTTGTCCTGCTGGCTTCAGAGTGCGCACATTGAGTGCGGCCAGATAGACTGGGTGTCAAGCCTTGAAAATTGATTTGGGGATACTTGAGGATGTCGGCGAGATAGCTTAAATGGTCAGGGTGCGAATTTACCCACCAGAAGGTCCATGGTTCGAATCCGACCTCTGCCTCTCGACTTCCCCTGTCTAGACTTGGGCAACCTGACAGTATCCCAGCCCTCGTGCTTCCTGGTGGCATGGCAGTTTTGCACCGGAAGGGTGCTACAGCAGCTGAACGAGGATGTCAGCGCCATGTGACGATCAGATACTGCACGCAAAACCGATGCACGACGAACGGAGTCATCTGTCCTAAGTGCTGGACCCATAAGAGGAGAGCTATTAATGAGGTGCGGAGAGGGGGATGAAAAAGTATGTGAAAGAGAAAGAGGGGAGGCGTCGGCTGTAGCCTGTTTTCGCATACCCGCTTTGCTGTATGCAGCAGATAAGGTGACCCGGCTGGTGGCACCACACAACGACCGACGTGGCATGAGTTCATTTGTATATGTGCAGTTCATGGTTGTACATGGGCTGGGATACTGTCCGGACGCTCAAACCTAGACAAGAGGACGCTTAGGGCCCTCAACTAAAGCCTTTGGCTCAAAAGCCTAACCGCAAGGCAGCGGTGTTATGCGAGAAATGCAGATGCATTACCACTTCTACGGAACAAATCGCCACATGTTCCGACCCCCGACCAGGAGAGCCAACCCCCCACCAATTGACCAACTTGGTATGAGAGACCGAGTGTCGCGGGGACACCCCCCAGGATAGCTCAATGGGTCGCTAAGGTGCGCAAACCGTCACACCATGGTAATGTCCAGTCTCTTCGTGACGGAAAATTGGCGAAAGCATTTCTGCCGTTTTGGATTCGCGCGTTGACTTCGTCTGTCACACTACATCATCACCATCATCATCAGCATGACATCTTTTCCAACACCGATGTTTCACTGCCGTACCGTCACGCTAACATACATGGTCTTGCCTTAATTTTCTGGAGACCTTTTAAAAAACTACACCCAACAGTCATTTTGACTTCAGTCGCCATTTTCTTTGTCACCTGTAGAATCTTCTTGCTCTGGACGTCTTACTGCTTGCTTGTTACCCTGCTTACATCAATCCAGACATTATAAATAACCGGCTAGAGTGGGAGTTGAGGCTTGAAGATGGATTCCGAGATGCATGAGGATGTCGGCGCCGGATGACCCAGATGTTTCCTGCAAAGGAGATTCAGGACAAACGAAGTCATCTGTCCTAACTTCTGGGCGTACGAGGAGAGAGTTAATAATGGACTATGGCAAGGGGGAGGAAAGTGTGTGCAATAGAGAGGAGGGAGGCGTCAGCAACAGCCAATAAGGCGAGCCATCCGATGGCATCACGTGAGAACCGATATGGCATAAGATTAATCGTTTATGTGCTTCCATATGCCAAGCGTTGGCAACGCTGATTTGTTATGCCAGCGCGGCCAACTCGTCCCGAATGAGTAGCGGTCATTCCAAAGTGAAGTGAATGAAATCTAAGTAAGCTGCTGAAATGACGGCACGAGATTATTGTTAGTTGTGTCATACATGACATGGGATACTGCCATGATGGTATGCAAAACCAGAGAGAAATCGAGAAAGGTCATCGACAATCGGAGGCTACTTACCACCATTTGCAGTCGAACGAATTTGGAACTCGGGATAGCTCAGTGGTTAGGGCTCGAACTTAATGACTAAGGGTTCGAGGTTCAAACCCAACCCCGAAAATGTGACTGTTCTATTATCTCTGCTTGGGCAAGCTGGCAATATATATGCCTTCGTGCTCCAGATAGAAGCTGGGCACTCAAAGGGTGTTACATCTGAAGTAGATGTTGCCAGTTGCAGCGTGTAGTTTCTTTGAGGATTACCCTCAGTCCCAAACCTTTTTGTAGTTTTCAATGGATTGTCCATGATAGTATGAACTACTAAGTTTTTTATTCTAATTGCAGGTAAGTCAGGGAGAATTCATCGACTTCACGTGTGGTATAAAATGGGATTTTTTGCGGACGTAGAAATAGCTGCGTACGCCTAATTCTGGGGTGGCCTGATTACCTGTTGAGTGCTCTGGGACCGGTGTAAGTCAGTGGTGCACAATATCCTCGGGACAAAGCTCCACCAATGAGGTTATAGTTTCCAGGATACTATCTTATCGTGAAAGAAACTGGATTCATCACCCTCCATCTTCCCCCCGTTTCAATGATTCTCGCCAATCATAAACTGCCGATTTTCTATCCGTTGTTAACTTGAAATCAACACTAGTTGGTCTGTCTCCTAGCGAAGTAAGTCTCGACAGTTGCTTACGTTGATCACGTATCTGAAACATTCCCCTCCACGATCAATGGCAACTATGCTGGGATTAGTTCTTCATGTCAGATTTTTTGAAGTAGTAGAGCTAGTTGGTAGTTGAGAGGTATGGTTCCTCATCAATGGTAAACACATAAGCCGCTGGGCTCATTTATCGGGGCATCAATTTCGTACGACATATGAAGTCAAATGGTTTACTTATTCCCGTTAAGGTCATGCCCGCCATTTGCATTTCACTTCCTTTCGAAGCGCTCTTTGGTTTTCGTCTATTGAGTTTCGTTCGCTTTGTTTTTTATCACCTAGGGGATATCGGCAATTACTATTATGGCCAAGGGCATCCAATGAAACCTCATCGTATACGGATGACCCACAACCTCCTGCTCAACTATGGTCTCTATCGCAAAATGGAAGTGTATAGGCCATCCAAGGCTTACAGTGAAGATATGACGAAATTTCACAGCGACGAATATGTCAAGTTTTTGAAAAGCATTCGTCCGGACAACATGCATGAATTCAACAAACAAATGCAACGCTTCAATGTTGGCGAGGACTGTCCTGTGTTTGATGGACTTTTTGAATTTTGTCAACTGTCAGCTGGGGGCTCTATTGCTGGAGCCGTGAAGTTGAATAAACAGCAGACGGATATTGCTATTAATTGGGGAGGCGGTCTCCACCATGCCAAGAAGTCAGAAGCATCCGGCTTCTGTTACATCAATGATATTGTCATGGGTATTCTTGAGTTACTCAAGTATCACCAGCGTGTGCTGTACGTCGACATCGACATTCATCATGGTGATGGTGTTGAAGTAAGCTTGTTGGTTTTTGTTCTAAATTTTTAGGAGGCCTTCTATACCACGGATCGCGTGATGACGTGCAGCTTTCACAAGTATGGCGAATATTTTCCTGGGACGGGAGATTCCAAAGATATTGGTGCTGGTCGGGGGAAATACTATGCCCTCAACTTCCCAATGCGTGACGGAATGGACGATGAATGTTATGAACGTTGCTTCAAACCGGTTATCTCCAAGGTATTGCTCCAGTTTCCCTCGATGGAAATGCATTTCAGGTAATGGAGTACTTCCGTCCCGGTGCAGTTGTGCTGCAGTGCGGTGCTGACTCTCTTAGTGGGGATCGCTTAGGATGTTTCAATCTCACCCTTAAGGGTCACGGAAAATGCGTCGAATTCATCCGATCATTTCCCATTCCGCTACTACTGGTTGGTGGTAAGTGGCATTCTCCCTGTTCTACTGTCCTCTCATAACTTGTTTTCACCACCTTATCGTTTCCGTATTCGTTATTGAGATGCCATACACCTGATGATAACTTTGTATTTTGAACCAGTGTGTATCCAGTCCCCATAGCCTTCATTGGTGTTGAAATTTGGATACCTTAGGAGGCCGATGAAAAAAGCCAGTCCTGCATACATGCATACACACATATTTTCCTTGGGCTACATCATTATTATATGTGCATAGTCAGAACAAATCAAAACCTTAGAATCTGGTGGAAATGCCTTCGTCAGAAGGTCTGTTTATTTTTTAGGTTATTTATGGGTCACATCGGCATCAACATCTTCCTCATGGACTCCGTAATAAACTAATGTGGTTGTAGTGGCTTTCGATGCAGTATATTACAAACGTATTCTTCATTCAAGACATCTTCAGTTAGAATCTAGACCACAGTGAGAACACAACTTCGTGCCAGAATTCAGCTACTGCAAATATTGGGGAGACAGACGATAAAGGAAACGTGGGAAAGTGGCATTGACACGGTTTCTTGGCCACCTCTCTTCTTTCCCATCAATGGACTATGAGACATTCGTTTAATTGAGTTTCACATCTTCATCGCGGCCGCGTTACATTGTTATTCTTCAGAAGTCCTGTGCTTAAATTCAGATGGCACTGAAGTTAGATTCAGAGGTTTGTCACTAATTTCATCATCTACAAATGAAAATAAGGTGTTCTAGTTCGGCTTTGCATCCCATCCGGATGACTCCTGCCTGATTTGTCTTAGCCGAATAGTCTTTCATGCTCAGAGATACAGATTGCCCAGCACCCTGTATTCCCAAAAGTTTTTTGGTGGTTTTGCAAGCTCTACCACACATTACTTCTACGAATTCGGAACCGGTAGACAGTCTATGGCGCTCCGCTTTACACAGAAGACTGGATGCATGTGGTGCATCAAAATACCTGCAGAGCCCATGATTCAACTTCACACCAATTAGTAGTCACCTAAGAAACTGAAGGAAGTTCCGAATGAGACATGTGTTATTCGGTTCTATTGCAAACTAGTGTATGCGATCTGGGCTCAATTCAACGCAGCCCTACTCTCAAAGATGGTTGAGTATTTTTCGCAGTTGTGCACCCTCGATGGTGCCATGTAACATGCAAACCATGTGAAGTGTTTCTGAAGAAAATGAACATCCGCTAGTTTCGGTTCAAGCAGTACTCGACGGTATTTTACTACAGATAAGTCCGAAGATCGAAGTCACCCTCCATTTGTTCTCGCTCGTATACACTGTATGGAGTCCGCCATAAACCAAATTTACCCCCATCTGCGTTTGCAGTGTATGATTGTCAGATGGACTGAAATGTGCTAAAGGAATACGGCCAGAGTAATAAACTCTGCTGGTTTTGTGTATCCAGTTGTTTAGTTCATTTTCTTTTTTCAGGTCTAAGCATACAATAAGTCATAGATTGCACTTAGGATTTCTGTGTTCGAAATTCACACTAGACAAATTCGCTAAAGCTTATTTGCCGCAAATCCTAGGACATGTAGCTAATTGCCGAATGCCAGATAGCGATTATTTGTGGAAAGGCAATTTCATCGTAAGATGCATGCGGAGCAAAGCACTATCAAGTTGTATCTTTCTAATCTCAATTCAACCTAGCCCTGTACAGCTTTGATTGTCCATGCGGAGCATGCAGTGTCGTAGCCCCGACCAAATGTTACATTGATATCATAGACAAATGGTTTGCCTTGTGCGCTTACCTTAGGATTGATAAGGTCTGTTTGTTATCTGTTCTGTTGCAATAAGAGCAGAAGTTGCACCATGACTCGTAATTTGACTCACGTGAACTGTTATCTTAAACACTTTACAGGAAGTGACCAAGAAAGGCGGAATCACCACTCTGAAAATGTAGCCTCATTAAATATGCACATACTGATCAGAAAACATAAAAATGACTCCTGCATGTCAAACAGCCATTAGTAGAGCTAGCTTGGTGGTTAAGGTGCGAACTTATTGATAGGAGGGTTCGTGGTTCGAATCCGACCCCAGCATCTCGACCGCTCCTGTCTACGCCCGGACAAGCTGGCAGTATCTCAGCCCTCATGTTTCCCTCAGGTGGCATGGCAGCTAGGCGTTGACAGCATGATACAGCCGAACGATTATTTGTTATTAGTAGTAGCAGAGTATAGATGATGGTGATGATGGCGTTGAGTTAATCCAAACCGCTTAGATGCACTCTCTATGAGGTGGTGCTTTATTTTACCAGAAGAAAGATGCTGGCCTCTTCGTTGAATGGCCGTTCTCTAGACTTGGACTTTATGAGGGAGGAAGTCATCTACTCTAATGGGAAAATTTTCGGGGTTGAAAACTGGTCCTTGTGATGGCCTGGCCTTTCTTAGGGGCGTAACAATTGACCACCTATGCTTCGGTATCTTAAATGTAGTGGTGTAGTAGTATCGGTCAGTGGGTTGTAGCATGGGCTACTCAGTCCATTAGGATGCAGTTTGTGTACCGTGTCGTTACTCTGCCTTGATGTGTGCACGCTGGTCGGTATTGGTAGACGGGATTTGACGGCAACCCCTACAGCGTTCTCGTTTTTTTTCATTGTGTATCCAACGCACTCCCTTTAGTAAACTGCGTGACGTATCTTAAACCGCCATTCATCGTCCCCCTTATTCTGATTGAACGACCGCCAAAAAAGACGAGAACACCTCGTTGCGTGACAATGGCCTTTGTGGGGTTCATTCACTTACGAAATTATACCATGCCCTTGTTGATTTAGCAGCACCTGTTTCCTTATCCTAACTTCATATGGGTCTTGAATCCAGCATTTGCAGTCATTCAGCACGATTTACATAATACAGCTGAAGAGCAATCGATTTTTCAAAAATGCTTCTTGTCTCTTTGCTACTCCCTCTTTCCGATGTTTTAGGCGGTGGGTATACGATACGAAACGTTGCCAGGTGTTGGACCTATGAGACTTCGATCGCACTGGCTACCGAAATACCGAATGATTTGCCGTACAATGATTACTATGAGTATTTCGGCCCTGACTTCAAGTTACACATCAGTCCAAGTAACATGACAAACCAGAACACGCCGGAGTATTTGGACAATATCAAAGCGAAATTATTTGAAAACCTTCGAATGATACCACATTCTCCAAGTGTACAAATGCAAGGTACGATTAACACCGAACTGGTTTCCATTTATTCATTTTGCAAGTGTTCCCTGAATTAAAGTTCTCTGCCGGGATGTGGTCGGTTTTCCGTGCCATCCGGGCCTTTCTTCCCTATTTGGATTCATCAGGTGGGCATGGAAGGTTTGGGCGCATGACTTGTCTAACAGCTTAAGGTCGCTGACCGCATAATCATCTCAAGGACATTTTTCACATTTTAGGTGCAGGACTTGACATGCGTAGAATCTCAAAATTAGCTCTACTTATCATCTACACGCACTGCGAATGATGTCTGTGTCCACAACGCATCTGCGGGGTGCCGCGCATATTTGCGGTAAACCACTATTTATCTCAACCTTATTTAGTGACTATTATCGTTTATTTTTGAAGAGCATGGTCACAAACATAAAAAGTGAATGCAAGCGACGAATGCGAAAGGGTAACAGGAGAATATGAGAGAAAGAGAGAAACGTCTCATTCGAGTTCGTGCCACCAGCAGTGCCAGTCAGATGAGATGAATCCCAACGTATGTAAAATTTTGCCTAAAGACCAACAACTGAAGAAAGGACAAACAATGTTGAATGCTCTTCAAGGTGCGGTAGGCGCTAGCACAGTCAAGACTCGCACATCAGGCACAAAGTGTCCGTCATAATTTCACTGCGTCCTGCATAACACAAACCTGGCATCACGGGCTCCTTACCGCAGCTCTATCTCAGTCCTAATTTATTCATTTCCCTCGTTTAGACTTTAAAGGTCCGTGATTATGCCAGTCTTCGCTGTTCTTGTTTATGTCTCGGCGAAGGGTGCTTTTTTCTATGTGTGAATCGCCTACACTGACTCATTTGCACGTTCTTTTTGACAGACATACCAAACGACGCCATTGACATAGAAGAACAAGAAGCGGTGACCAGAGATCATGCGGATCCGGATAGACGGATTTCCATCATGGCAGCAGACAAGGCCGTCCAACCAAACAATGAGTTTTATGATGAACCGGAAGAGGGAAGTGGTGCACCCAAAATTGGAAAAGCGCGTGATGTCCAAAGTCATCGCGATACGCCCAAACGTGCACGCAATGATGAAGACTTGAGTCTACCGACTAAGGATAGCCAGACGAGCAAGAGGACCGATGCAGCCGGTGACAAGGTATTGTCTTGCTCTTTTCCCTGCCAATGCTATATACGTTATCTCTCTCTCTGGCCATTGACACCATCTTATGCCTTCACTTTTAGCAGTTTGAGTCAAAGCCAAAAACATCAGAAAGGACGGAGACAACAGCCGGACAAAAAAGAAATGGCGTTGTAGAGTCGGAGAACAACGCGTGATGCGTTGTTTGCGAAGAAATGCCTGCTCCTCTAGGCTGCATACTACTGGCTCATTCGACGCGTTTGTCATATTTTCGAAGTCAGTCTGTATTTTCTATGGATTCTCCCTCCCTACTTAACCTACCCTTTCGGTTGTTTACGACAAAGTGTCAGACACCCTACCGTAGTGTGCACACGGTGTAATTTCTCACGATTCAGTTCGCTTTTTCAATTTTTAAATCTGCATTTACTCCTTTCGGCCTGCACGTGCCGTGCTGGTTTGTACAGATAATGCTGTCCTGTGTATTCCAATACTCTTGTGCCATTGAATTTGTTCATCTCGATTATTGGGTTTCTAGAGTTTTGTCAGATCCACATGAAGCCTCCTGCTCCGGTCGTCCCCTTCGACATGCCTTTTTTTTACAGCAGCTACAGTATCGGTTTGCGACCGTGTGCAAATTTTTATGTCATCAAACTCAGTTTGGCTCAGAGCACTCAGCACTGATCCGTAGTTATGCTTTGCCAATGGCCACTCTATTGGCCTTGTCTAGCCTGAAGTGACCTGGGAGCATTTCAGTCCTTGTGCTTTCCATGGGTTAGGTGGCCTCTAAAGGGGCGCCGAAACTGAGTGACTCAATTAGGGTTTTTACGCCGTGGAAAACGGTGTCTTATGTAATCAATGCAGGATTCTGGTCTTGAACTTTTTGCATTAGATCAGTTTGTTCTCCTTGTTAGTTGACAACCTCCTGCCTTCCAACTCGATTTGCCTTTTCATCGGTGATCAAGATAGGGAATGTACCAAAAGAGTACAAACGGTTACACGCGCACTTGACGTACGTCACTGTCCTAGATCAGTCAATTACGTACAGATGTGCGAAGATGGCGCTGATGGATCCGTATAGATGGCTAGTTTTCATCTGGATGTACTGGTTCAGGACTTCGACTTTACACCCGATGTTTTTGATAGCAGTGAAGTTTACACCTTTTTCAGTACTGGCTTGGTGAATCTACGAGAGGAGATTTTTTTCAGCACTTTTCGCCACTTTTTCGTGTGCTCAACCAACTCTTGATTCATGCTTCATTTTTTATGATTTGATGCATGTATAAGCAAACTGGGAAGCATACATTTGTGTCTGGATCCGGCCCATAGAACGATTTAAACTTGAAAATAAATGACATTTTCTCCGAAAAACCAGGTGTTTGTCGGATTGAACTCGAACGCAGTTCGGAGTCTATGCGAACGCAAACCAGGAATCTGTGTATTCAAGCGTTAGGGCAGAAACCGGCTTAGTACTGGTTTTGTGGCTAAGCCAAATAAATCCTGGAAGGTTTACTGTCTGAGTGATAAGACTTTCATATTGCATTGTGCTGTGAACGCGGTCCACTGCTTTGATTTCCCAGGCTGTCCATCTTCAGCGTCACAGCGCATTGGTCTTAGCCGATATATGTCAGATGAGCACTGTGCATGGAACTGGAAAGCTAATCCGATCGGTAGGTAGATACCGCTCACTCTTTCACTGAAAGCGTAAATTGACAACATTAGTTCCTGAGCTGCGAACCGACCGCAGAAAAATTAGTGTCACGAGCAACCGGCAGTTGGTTTAGTTGGAGCCACATCTGACTTGGGTTCGGTTCTGCTACAAAGGTCTGTGCAGTTAGTCCCCGGAGTATGCTAGCAGAGATAACACCCGTGATGATGGGAAAATTTCGTTCTCAGCTGCCTACTTTATGCGGTCATAGGGACATTGGTTGATTTGGGATTGAAAGCGGTATGGTGGAGGTGGCAAACTACCTGTGTCCTCCAGCTTTTGACAAAAGTCGGGCTAGATAGCCGGGAGGTCTGTTCATTCTACACCGAAACCTTAAATACAAGCGACAGACACTTCTGTTAAACCATGCTGGGTATTGAGTGGAACGGTTCTCCTAAGCTGATCAATTGGGGGGGGGGGGTACTGGAAGAACAGTGAATGGGATGGCGAACAGCTCTTGAAAAAATAATTCGGGGCCGAGGGGAACAGATAGTGCTCAACCTTTGAAAACCGTAGAATCCTTTTCATAGGCGACTTGTACAACGGGGCAATCAAAAGTTTGGCTGTGAACTTGCATTTTCGTCTCCATCAAGGTGCATTCCAGGGATTGAGGTTGAGACTTAATGGTCCCTGTGTTTTCTAGTTGCAACTGAGATTGTGGAAAAAACGGTCCCCATAATTTCAACGTTGTGTGCATTGCCATTTCGTCCACTGCTACTCAATTACGGATTTGTATTTCTCAGAGTGCCACTCTGAGGTATTCTTGTCTAGTTGGTCATATTTCTTTTGGGCGTTCACCCGCGTTCGAGCTTCATTTTGTAGCGCATCAGTTTTCATTTCCAAGATGTCTCGATCATCATGACGCGTTTGCTTACCACTATTTTGTTACTGTTTGTGAGGCTTGTCAGAATAATTATAGGTTGGATGGCATTATAGCCACTTTTTGCTATCCATTACATTCGGGTTTGCAGGTTCCTACGATGGGGTAGATTTCTGGTTCCGTATGGTATTTCAGCCCCACTTAAATCAAAACAAATCCTACCTAACAAAATATCTTTATTTTCCGCGTGGACGAGCAATTACGCATGAGAAGTAGATGGAGATATTGGATTGAGGTTCGAGTCCGATTCTGTGGAACAGAAGATCGCGATGAATATGGTCAGTATTAGGATGCACAGAGTTAAAACAAATCTCAACCGGAAGTTTTTTGTTCAAATGTTAACAAAAGTGCAACGCCTGAGATGGTACTACGGGTTTTCTTGGATGGACGTCGAGCAGCTGAGTGACTTGGATGATAAGTGGCCCTTTCGAGAAAGCCCTTGTCTTCATTGTCCATGTCACGCTGTATTTCCTATACCTATACGGCGACTCCGAAGGCAGAATGACTTGTTGACCCGAAATAAATTTTTCCGAATAATACGGAGACTTCTCTTATTTGTCAAGGAAAAATTGCCGGATTACGATGAGTATCTCAATTAGCTAACAAACGTAATTCCGGAGTGAAATTCTCGCTGTTTCGGAAAGTGTAAAAGCTTTTATTGGTTCCAGGAAACGCAGAGGAGTGTTTGAATGAAAACAGTTCATTTCTTTCTAACTGCTGGTTTCTTCGCTTTAATCTATAGCCAATCAGCGCATTTTTAACACGAATAAAATCAATACACTGGTGGCTTCTACTGTTTCTTGAAGTACTTGTACCGGATTCCTGGTTTTCCCATTTAAAGCGTGGTTTCTCTATAAAAAAGCAGACTGTGCACAATGCTATTAAAATGGGAACGACATGGGATCACTCGGATCTGGCTTCTGCTTGATGACCGTTCCGTGGTTGGCAGTTAACGAGAATGATAAAAGCCTCAACGCAAGATTCTCTGTAACATTTATCTGCCAGAAATGTTCGCTCAGGAGAATTAACGTATTAGTGAAAGATCAGGGGCGCTGTATTCCGCCTAGGTGTGAGATAATCGCATCGCTAATCAGATATCTATTGGTAAACGATGTAACTATCAGCTGGTGATCGGGATGTTGCATATCTGAGGTCACTCAGATGCGCGCTAACAAAGATTCCCGGCAAGGCTGAAGCCGCCACGCACTACTTGACCTTTCGGCGTAGACTGACCACGAGCAGGATGAAATCCCTAAAGAAACCTTTTGGTCAAGTACACACCTCTGAACTCACAAACAACAAAGTACTTTCCGTAGAAACGTCACATGGGCAAAGTCATGTACAGAACCAATAAAGTGCGCTTGGACCTAACTTAAGGGGAGCGGCGTTGGCAGAAAGGATAACGTAACCAGTTAACGAATACAGAAACTACAGGAGAAAACGTTAGGTGAATAAACAAGCAACCTCTCGAGGTGTACACTTTCACGTTCACGTTAGTTCTGGCCAGGTGTGATAATTTACGTTCGGGTGGTTTCGCTCGCCAATCGTCTAACTGTTTGTTATGGTTACGGCGGATTATGACTCCGAAAATGTTGAGTAATCACTGTTTGGACGCTGGAAAAGCGTCACATCATTTGACACAGCCACTGAAATTGAGCATAATCTGTGGTATGTCTGTGATTTTCGTGAAGTTTCGAGGGGTCTTGGTTACAACTCTACATGGAATCCGATGAAACATGCATCGTTTCATAACACCGTCGAAAATGTCCTTCATGGAGTTGTTTTAGGAGAGTTTGATACACAAGGCCTGAATGCGTCTTCATGTATTCGGCCGTTTCGGGTTGACAAGCAAAAATGCTCTTTTTGGACTACATAAACTGAGAACAACGCTTAAACATTATTTGCGGTGCTATCCAGGTGTTTTGGTGCTCTCAGACAGTCCCGAAATTCCATGAGCCTAATTTTATCCGAGGGGAAGCTATTCGTCTCCATGTTTTGAAGCAACTACTGGCCTAGTCCCAATAGACTCGTTCTTGTGCCGTTATGATACGAAGGAATTTCATCAGGTTGACCGATCCATCCATTAAGTATGATGCAGTCGGCACTTGCTGGACGGTTATCTAGTTGTTTCGAAGATATTTGAATGGTCATGTACCAATTTGCTTTACTGCGCATTGGAATAACAATGCTAGGAAGACAAACGAATGACACCCAGTTTTACCTTATAACAAGAAGGGGTAAGGTTTGCCGCGTTGACAATCATGAACGGTGTTCTAAATCTGATTGTTCAGGGTGGCGCTGCAGCGGATGCACTCCTGATCATCTTAGTTCTCTGGAAGACTCATGGTTCTATATGGTCCCACTATTACACCAATGGGCGCGCCGTAGTTTATGCACTCGAACTGTCAGTAGCTCTCTTGTATAGTGCGTCTATCATTCGTAGGCTTTACTTACTTGCAGCCCATCTATCTGCATCAATATGTGTAGCCCGGCAGCCATACCAGTTCCAGTGGTTTAACGTTAAAGGTGTTAGTCTCCACGCACCCTTTGAGCGACCTAATGACATTACAATCCACAAAATCAGACACAATGCATAAGGTGATGACCTCTCTAGAGTTTCACGATCACTGGAGACGTATCCTTTGTCTTGGTTGGTAATAGTCAAAAGCTTGGAGAAGAATCTGCGACTATCCGAAACGGTCCAGAGGGATCGATCTACTACAACTGTGCAGTTCGGTATTTTTAACATGTTTTCAGCTCTATGTACAGTTGGGTGTTCCAACTGCCAGCGTTTTTGCCTGCTTGAAGTTTGGTACTATCTTCCTCGATGAGTTAATGCTACCGTGTTGTATACTCCGACCGGACTGTATGCCGAATAAATAAATAAATAATAATACTACTCATCCAGCTGTAGCACTCTTTCGGTGTCTAACTGCCATGTTACCAGAAGGAAGCACAAGGGGTGGGATACTGGCGGCTTGCCAAAACCTAGACAGGGAGGTCGAGAGGCGGAGGTCAGGTTCGAAGAACGAACCTTCCAGTCAGTAAATTTGCGCTCTAACCACTGAGCCATCTCGCCTCCACACTGAATGAATGGCTTATCACATCAACATTATCACGATCATGGGACCCATACAATCCACTGCTGTTCGTTGATCAGGTCACTAGCTTGTGGTATCTAAGTGCGTTGGGTGTCAGGTGCGAAAGTAGCTGTCGTTTGCATCTCATTGTCCAACACATTTCTCAGTTTGATCCACAACCGCAGGAACATGACACCTCGAGTCAGAAGAGCTCAGGAGCGCAATTAATAAAAGGTATAGTCAGCTTGTCTGGTCGTCTCAGTTGACCGAAGAGTGTCACAGTGTGTGGTAACAGCGAACTGTGTAGGGTCGGTTACTTAATGAATGCCTCAGAACCAGGACAGTCGCAACCGGCTGGTCCAGCAACCAGTTACACTGGCAAAGTATGGTCTCATCCTGACTATTTTAATACGAAACGCCAATAAAAATACTTTATCCAGTTTAAAATCCAAAGAAATATTCTGATTTTTATGACTGAATAAAGCGGTCACGTAAAGCTTTGCACATCATTTTCGTGGTTCAATTATTGTGTAGGATTGCACAATATCAATTTTGTCGCAAGTACGGTAGCCAACGGCAATGATTCTAGTTAGTGAGATGTGGAAGCTCTAAAAATATACGTGTGATTGAAATTAGAAATTCACGTAAAAACTGACTGCAGTGTCCCACACCTATAGAGGCACAATTCATCACCATATTTCATTAGTAAGGAAAGTTATCTCCACACAAAAAGCCGGTGTATGCAACCCAATCCCAAAGTAGACAGACACAACTATGGATAGCTTGGTGGCTTCGGCTTTTATTGAGACGCGGTGTTGCACGCAAGACCCCACGAGCGACAAGCCCATTGTGGTTCGGCGCGTTGGAACTCAGTCGGACGGTAGCGAAATTTGTCTGGATGGTGTGAAGCGCATGCAAGCTTTAGAGACTCGGGTTATTTGGCATTGGGACAACGAGTAGGGTCAGTGATAATGCATCGGAGGAGCAGCCGCAACGACAATAAGCCTGCATATATGTTTAATACCTAGTTAGAGGAGATGAGTTCCACCAGCGTTTACTAGCTTAAAGAAGATGAGGTTTCACCATACCACACTGAAAGTGCTCCCAAACATCTGGGTGAAACATTCGGAAATTAGTGGACTGGTCAAGAGATACTGTTTGGCTAACAGCCCGGTCGCAGAACTTAAACGCCTGAGCTTTTTCTTCAGGTATATTTAATGCAATTTGTCAAACTGAATGAATCGAGAGTTATTCTTGAATGTATTTAATTAATTTGAGATCCTACAGGCGACTCCAGGTAAGTAAATGGCTAGTTACAATATACGTATGTTTTTGCCCACCTCGTACTGAAAATACATATTACAAAGAGCATGTAAACTTTACATTGATGCATCATATGAGTAAAGTTTTCTTTCTTGACGGTCTCCGACAGTCCGCGACCGTTTCTGCCTTTCTTGGGGCTCGTCAATTAGGCACAGTCCCCGAACTTCCATCATCCTTATATTCTACCTGGACCGAAATTAAACGCAGTTCGCGAGGTGCAGTTATATATAAACGAGAGTTTCACATGGAGTTATAGTGTTTACCGTTAAAATCAGTTAACTTTCAGATGACTGTGTTCCGCAAATTCAGGTTAATTTGGGTTCAGGTAAAATATAAGGTTGGCTGAAACTCGGGAACTGCGCCCACAGGATGAGCCCCAAGGAGAGCGAAAGAATGGAAGAGTCTTCAGTGACCTTGTGAATAGTACTCCGTCGAGATATATAGCGATATCTCGAATATCGTACCGGTTGAAATATGGGACCGTCTGTGCAGTGTGTTTGGTTAAACAATATCTAAAAAGGGAAATTCATCGGACACTGTTGAGTCTCCCGACGAGGCCAAATGAAATTCCCTTTATTCGGATCAAGTTTTCGGGAGGACGTCCTACAGACCGCATCCTCAATCTTGTTTAGCTGTCATGGAGCCTCAATTCCACCTAAGCTGAAACTCCCTTGAACCACTCACCGATGGCTCAATGTCAGACAAATCGGTTCACCTTATATAACAACAAATCTCCACATTCAATATCATTTAGTTTTGGGATTCGGCTGTGACTGTTACATACGCAGGCGCCCCGACTGCGATTCTCTGACTTCTCAGCTGTCTAACCAACACATTTGGCGGAACTACAACGCGTTATCCAATTTTCTCAAGTCTTCATACAGTTGGCACACCATCCAGACGACATTCAATACTGTTCGAGCCACTCTTATGAGTTAGATGGTTTCGTTCACGGACTCATGGCATTGTGCACCCAATACCGGTGAGATGCTTCAAGTGGTTAAAGCGCGAATTTACTGACCGGAAGGTCCGTGGTTCGAACCCGACCCCTGCATCTCGACTTCTCCTGTCTATGCTTGGGCAACTTGGTAGTATTCTAGCCCTTTTGTCTCCTTCGGGTGGCATGGCAGAAAGGCACCGAAAGGGTGTTACGGATGATTGATTATTTTAATATTATTTTACAACCATATTTTACTATATGCTGTGACCACTGGGACGTCCATAGGGTGATTTGTGATATTCACATGCATAAAAAGTGTTGGAAGAAATTGTAATTGATTGGCTGCAGTCATTCTGGTTCTACTGACAAGTAAAGGCTGATACTTTCTCGTGCGTAGTTCAGTACCCGACATTATGTCAAGGGAAACCAAGCACAGACTGACCAAGCGCATCTTGGGCAACTGGTAGTATTCTAGCCCTTTTGTCTCCTTCGGGTGGCATGGCAGAAAGGCACCGAAAGGGTGTTACGGATGATTGATTATTTTAATATTATTTTACAACCATATTTTACTATATGCTGTGACCACTGGGACGTCCATAGGGTGATTTGTGATATTCACATGCATAAAAAGTGTTGGAAGAAATTGTAATTGATTGGCTGCAGTCATTCTGGTTCTACTGACAAGTAAAGGCTGATACTTTCTCGTGCGTAGTTCAGTACCCGACATTATGTCAAGGGAAACCAAGCACAGACTGACCAAGCGCATCTGTTTTGCGTTTGGCTTTCCCTACCACTTATTGGGAGTTATCCTATGCTCTGCGAGGTTCAGCTGTCCATGCGTCCGGCCAGATTTCATCAGTCCGCCATCCCACTGTAAACTTCCCAGTAATGTCCACCTTCCGGTTTTATTCTACTGTTTTTTCACGAGCAACATCGTTCGTAAAATGGACGAAACTGAATTGCTCGGATGAAATTCAACCCCAGAAATACTATCGACCAATTTGTTGTGTGTATTTGTGGGTAAAATATCGTTCACGCGAATAAATTCATGACGCATAGAAAGCAGATACCACAACAGTTGCCAACAGTCTTCAACATTACGCTTCTCAACGTTGACCTCTGTCAACCATTACTACTTCATGACACTAGTTCATACTTGGGGTGAAATCATTCGCTAAAATTGGATACACATATAGCACTGGATTTTGCCAGTTGAACAGGAATTTCACTTGGCACTGCCCTCATGCATGAAATAGTCCTCGTGTTTACCCCGGATCAAGCCATATTTAGCTACAGGCCTCTGAGTCGAAAGCCGAGTGATGCTTATGGACTAGCTGTATCTACGTGATGTCATCACTTATGTGCTCAGCCATAAAGTTCCCATTAAGAATATTCATAGTATTTCTTTTGCGCGGAATCGTAGTAAATTAGGTTGTGTGGATAATGTTCCCCCTTCGGTGATGAAGCCCTCGAACTCTCATTCAGGTTAGATGCATGCTCACCTTGATGACATGAAACATTACTTTGTCATGAGATTTTCGGTGGTGATGGCATTACATGCAAACAATTGCATTTGGTTCGGTTCTAATGCTTGAGTAAACGATTGGGGAGACGTAGCCAGCTGAAATAGAATAGAACAAAATTCGGTTTATTCATGTACTATCAGTACATTAAAAACCGGCAAAAGCTGTCGGACGACAACGGTTTCATTCAGAGTTTTTCCTATCTATTGGGGTTAAAAAATCATAATTTCTGCAGTATTATTTGTAATCATTATTTGTTCAGCAGTGCAATCAAACTGAAATCAGTCGCTGTAGGTAAAACTCAAGTCGATTGAAACGGGCATTCGTTGATCTCAAATTTGTTGGTCGCCTATGTATACCTTTAATGCAGGCTGTTGTTCTGTTTGCAGAATTTTTGTGCTTCTTCAGTGCAATAAATAAAATTTTCTTAATTTTTTAAGATGTCTTCACACTGCCACCACGGTATTTTCTGCCTTGATGTCAATCATGCCACAGTTGAGGTATTTTTAAACCTAACTCGTAATCTTTGGCACTCAAAAGCCAGCCTAAAATTAAGTGTGGACCTACTGGTCTGTTCGAATGTCATACTTCAAAAGTGTTCAGCTTATACTGGAGGAATAGTATTAACCCAACGGTCGCATATGTCAAATAGGTGTCCGTGAATCGATTCATGGCATTGCTAAGGATGTGTACTGCCCCAGTCTCATCCAACAGCACCCTGCCACCGATTTTGAAGGTGTTTGCCACCAACAACAATAAAGCAGCTATTCGGCTGAATATCAGGTGAATCCCCCGCAAAACCAAATCGGTTTGAACATGAGTGTGTTTTACTAATCACAAATCCTGTTGCGTATGGCCACTTGGTGTGTAGCTTGCAGACTTCTGTCGCGCTCTGTGATCCAGTAGGGGAAATTAGACAAAAAGGACTATCCTTGCGACATTTTTATGGACCGCGTAAAGCCATCGGTGCAACTCATGTCTCATTTACTGCGAAACCTCAGTATAACCATCATTCGCCGGAAACCGGGGAAAAGCGATCAAAATATTTGAACACAGCGGTATCATCATTGGGAATAAATATAAGACAAGCGATAATCCCATGCACTCACCGCGCTAGGGACTTCTTTCTCCCCGATGCAAATTGTTCATTTGACTCAATGTAAGTAGCTTCACCTTCTTGTGTTAAATGAACCGAAGATGACAGTCCCGCTTGGGCAACTACCGAAAATGAATCATCCGGCTGACAGCTATTTGACTGATTGATGTTTAACTCCATCAGATCATCTGACGAATTGACGGCTGTCAGAATTTCGCAATTCTTCATAGGAGGTCTTGTTCTTTTCGTTCCGAATGGCATTTTCAAATAACTTGAGGCTGATCTCCGACCGGCAGAGTAAAGGCTGGAATCATACATGGGGTAAAACGCATTGCTTATACGGATGCAAGATGCTTGAAAGAACCATTTTCGATTCCTGGTGGCAGTTTAGGTTCATACTAAGGGGGGACACTGAGAATAAAATATTGTGTTCACGTGGCGAACATATACAGCATGTGAGGTCAGCTAACGAGAAACTCCGTTACTTTTTGTCTATTCCTTTAAAAGCCTTGAAGGCCGTTCAAGTTAGGATTGGTCTGCCACACTAACTGTTGGTATACTCAGCGCCTGTTTTCTATTGCTAGTACGAAACAAAACCGATCCGTTTCAGGATCTTAGTCTCAATTCTGCTTCATCTATATGTTATTCCCCAATATATCCACTCCCAATCACATATGGATCCCTATATTCTAGAGAAGTCTAAGCAGGCTCAATCCTCTTTCTAATTTCAAGGGAATTTTTGCGACTAAATACGCCAATCCTGTGGAAAATAGCAAACATGCTAGGACGATGTGAAATGCTATTATGACGAGGACAAGCTAGGTGGAGAAAAGTGAAGTGTAGAAGGAAGCGAGAAGTTCTTCACCGTTTTGATTTATCGGGTGGTCCCTATTTAATTTTTCTACAAACTACTGGTTTCTGTCGTCATTTATCCGATTCTTGTTGAATTAATTTCCCAGATATATCCCGAGAGATTCATACCCAGACTGCAAGTCTGTAAAAACAATAAACAGATAATATATAATTGCCATTATTTTCTGAGGTACGCGGTGTGTATCGATGCAGTGCCATTGTAACGAAAACCGGAAGGTGATGGAGATTCAGCGCCCCAACATATGTGACAGCTACTTTCCTTCATCATCATCAAATCTTGCTTTCTTCCTTCGAATCGTGAAAAGCCACCAAACTCATTAAGATATTCAATGCAAAAGCTGATACTTCGGCTCACAAGGCTACTTCAGGATGTTTATTGGATTCTCCTGTGTCAAGCGTTCTGAGGTGCCTATACCTTCAAGCGCTCAATCAGACAATCTTGGAAGAAACTGACAGCATGGACGTCACTGACATCGATTAGCCGACATTTCTTGCAATGCCTCCAGCCAAGCACAGGTGGGGTCACGGAGACCCCATCCTGGAAGGTGTGCAACACCAACAACACCCAAACTCTTCGTGCTCTCTTTCACGCCCTTCCGTCAAAACATGTGTTGTCCATCTCGCGGTTGGCACCATTATGAAAGAGGCACGGAGAACAACACTCGTCTCGGAAGACGGTGCTTCGGTATGCATAGTACATGACCGAGCCATCGTAGTCACTGATGCTAGATGTTCTCTTCGATTGAAGTACCTGCCGAACAAACAAATACCCGTTTTCCAATCACCTCGTCACTAACACGCTGACGCCATCCAAAACTAGCCACGCTTCTGAGGTGCCGGTGGTCAAATACCTGAAGGTGTCTCACATCAACTGTCCGCAGAGGCCAGGTCTCGCGCTCATACAACAAAAAAGCCCTTACTATAGCTTGCAGCCCTTAAGATCTGGTAATATGTCTTTTTGACACCACAAGTGACGCAAATTAGCGGTGATTCGAGCCTTCAGACTCTCACACTCATTTTATCAGACACATTTCTGTCAGAATTAGTACAAATAACGAGTTACGTAAAAATTTTCCACAACCTCCAATGATTCTCCTTGAATTGTGAGGGATAAGTTCGTAGGCTGCATAATCTGAAGCATGACTTTGCACTTTGAAGGTGTAAGGCGCATGCCAAAAGATGGTATGATGGCGATCAGTTTATTAAACAGGGCTTGTGCTTCTCTATGGTCTTCAAAGATGAGGGCGATGTCATCTGCGTACACCAGATCGACAAGGTTCTCGCCAGCAACATTTTGAACACTGGGGTTTTGAAGACCCTTCAGCGTTCACCTCATTATTTCATCAATGACGAAGTTGAACAAAAATGGAAAGAGTGAACACCGTTATCTGACACCACTTTTGGTAAGGAAGCTTCTGGAGAGCTCACCATACACTCACCCGCCCAGAAGTATGTGAATATAAGGATCGGGTTATATTCACTAACTTCTGGGCATACCCTGTTGAACAACATCGGTTGATCGACAGAATCGAACGCACCCTTGAAATCAAGGAATACCAGGATTGTGGGTCGTCTGTACATGGGGCGTTGCTCTAACACCTGACGGAGCGTGAGGATGCGGTCAACGCAAACTCTATCTGGTAGAAATCCCGGTTTTGCGCGCCACCCTAAGACGACGAAGATTCAGTGACGCCAGAAGGTTTGTCACAAAAGGAGTCAAACTAACATACCTGTGGTTACTACATTCACTGCGAGTACCCTATTTGAAAATGGGCACTACTACTGATCCATCCCAATGATCTGAGACGGTCTCTGTGTCTCAGATAGACCGAAATGGGCTAAACAGGTACTGGCTGAGAAGTCCGCCGCCATCCTTGAAAAGAGCAGGTGGGTGGTCATCAGGACCAGCAGAACGATGACACTTGAGTAGAGAAATACATTCGGACACTTCTGAGACTGCAGTTGACTCCATATTTATGGTCCACCTTTCTGTTGCAGGTTTCTGGAATGGAGGTAGCAGATGGCCAGCTGAGTTGCTACTCGAAGTGCTATGCTTAGCGGTGTAAACGTTCTGCTTTGCTGCATACCATGGAGCCATTTTTGTTCATGATTATTTCGCTGACAAGAGGTTTCCGATCGAATCAAGTGGAAGAGCTGGCGGACGCTTCCAGCATTCTTTTCTCTTCCATTTCTTCGGCCTTTCGGGTCCACAAAGCTTATCGGTATGTATGTACACTCAGTTTCACCTCGCATGGGATAATGCGTTTGGCGGAGCTGTGATTGCGGCCAGGAGGGATCTGTACTGGATTTCCAGCAAATACACGGTCCTATCCGAAATCCAATGCTTGGATAAGTAAAGCTGGGTTGTACCGCAAACAGACATTCCGGATTTGAGTAGCGCTTTAAATATCTTTTCTCAGTGGCCGTTTATATCCGACGTCGTACCTTCAGGCAGGCGTTCGAGGAGCTGGTTCTGATAATTTCGTGTGACTTCTGGACCCACTAGCTTCTCAGTGGCTAAGCGAGGTGTGCGCGTTTTGCGTATACCTGAGGAGCTCAATGAAAAGCAGCAGCGTAAAATTGCATGATCGGAGTCCATCCTGGTGTTGCAGAAGGAGCGGCAGGCGGTGATCGACCCTCGCTACCGATGACTCACGCCAATGTGTTCTATTTGGATTCATCGCTGGTTTGTTGGTGGGCACCACTTTGTCAAGCGATTTTTGCTGTTCCGGAAATTCGTACTGCAAAGGAACAGTCGCTGGTGGGCACACGTCTGAAGTAAGCAATCCCCGCTGTCCGTACGTCTAGTGTCCAATCCAACACGACCACCCAATCGGGCCTCAGCAGCGCTTAGTCTATCTACCTGGGCGTTCATATCACCAGCAACCACAACGATATCTGAGCTTTTAACCTGCTGTAGAAGGGCACCTGGAGCGTCATAGAAACTGCCCTCGGCAGGTTCAGAGATGTGTAAACAGACACAATAAACAAGGTGCGATGAACCTCACTTCCTCTACATTATCTCACCGATGTTGCCAAACGAACCGCACAGAGGCAATTAGCAACGGGTAACCAATCAAGCAGAGACGCTTCCTCTCAGTCGTCGAGCATATCCAGCTGCCGCGACCTCTGCATCACCAGAGGTGCTCAGCCGGAACCTGGAAGAGAGCGAGGGGGAAGTCAGTTCGATCACAGTACTTGCGTCCTACGTTCTTGTTTCTGACAGACTACATACATCAATACAGAGGGAATCCAGCGTACGCGCAAGAGCCACCTGTTGACCTGCTTGCTTCAGTGTGCGAACATTGAAAGTGGCTAAGTAGACAGGCTTTCGGGGTTTGAAAACAGACTTCGAAGTGTTTAGGGTTGTAACTGAACTCGGACGTGCAGACTCGGACGTAGAGGAGCCACAGCTAAGTGTGATGCATGGCGAGCAAAACGGTCGGTCCTAGTGCTGGGACCTGCAGAGAAAGTCTTCACACCTTGGTGGAAGTCAGAAATCGTAAAATTTTAAGAAGGGAGGCGTCAGCATTAGCATGTTTTCGCTTTCCCACCCTGCTGTATGCAGCACGTAAGGCGATCCGGCTCATGGCACCACGCGGCGCCTGATGTGGCACGAGAGCATTGTTATCTGTAAATGTCATGGTTATACGAGGGTCGTGATACTGCCAAGGTGCCCACACCTAGACAGGAGGGCGATTATGGTCCTCAACCAAAGCTTGTGGCTCAAAAGTCTAACCACAAGGCAGCGGTGTTGGGCTGGAAATTCAAGTACATTACGAATTGTACGTAACCCGTCGCCACAAACTCCAACCCCCAACCTGGAGGGCCGGGAGACTGCGTTCGTCATACCTTTATACATTAATCAACCTGGTATGAGAGACTCTGTGAATGTCGTGCGGACAGCCCCCAGTATAGCTCAGTGGGTCGCCGAGGTACACAAACCACCACACCACGGTAAGGTCCAGTCTCTTCGATTTCAAACAGACCAGTGAAAAGCAAGCAGTCACTGGCGTAAGTTTCAGCCCCAGCCACCAGTCTCCAAAAACCACCTTGAAATGAGTATTGCCTTGATAAAATCCCACAAAGTTCGCGTATGCAACCGCTTGGCCTAGTAAAAAACTGCGACACTTCCAGCGATAGTGTATTTAGCACGCAAGTGCCGACCTTATCTATATTTTAATAGATGAGTAGAGAGACTCACCTGGAACCCAGCTTAATCTCTCGTTTGTGATGTTACCAGGCAAGTGAATGTCCAATCCAGGCCGCCTCATGTTTCAGTCGCTACGATATTCGAAATATCGCGATACATGTTTATACGTAATGTACCACTGCTGAAAATTCTTCGACAGTTCACGACCGGTTTTGCGAATTTCGTGGCCCCTCGAATGTTGACAAAAAGTTTGCAAATCATTTGTCAAGCTCGGTGAACAGATCAGAAGCCACCTGATCACTCACCAGTTAATGCATCCGAGCTATTAATATACCAACACATTACCAACGGTGGAATTCGGAAAACAATGAAAGTAACGGAAACTACATAGATCGCGAGAGTGGGAGATCTTTGCGTTTTTGCCCAACTGAATGCCGACTCAAGTCTGACCAGATACTCGCCTGAATGAAATGCTCTCGCGGGCGAAGTCACTTTCGCCCTGTGCTGTACCGAAGTTTGATATGCTGCAAACTCTATGCATGGCTGGATTGATAAAAAAAGTAATAAATAAATGAAACATACACCACAGAACAGTAAACATTGTCGGATAAATTCATACTTAGTGCCAAAGTGCCTCTCACCTTTGATCCAACCGGCTGCCTGATCCAGTACTCAAAGCACGCTGGGTTTTCCCACCTCGTAGAGGTAGCCTGGAAAAAGTGTTTTTGTTTGAGCAAAGAAATCCGTTGCTACACAGGTTGCCGAATGTACATGTGATTTTTCCAGATTTATCAGGATCTGGACTTTTCATATCCCTCTGAATTTCTGAATTATACTGAAAATTTTCGTTGAATCTGTCACCCTCTTCGTAATTTGTTGACAAGCGTCCGTTCAAATTAGGTGGATTATGACAAAAAGTTGGCTGTGAGTGGTTGCGCATGTCTGTTGAATAGTGGAGCATCCGCAGACTGGCATATGGCACAGAACTCTGTTTACAAGGCGCTGATTTCTTCAGTTCTTCCGAATGTGTCCTTGAATCATGTCTCAGAATAGGCGTAGAGAGTGCAACCGTAGGAGTTTCCATAAGTTTCTGGGAAAAAGGAAAAAACACGCAGATATTTTGGCGCTAAACACAATGTTACCAATATGAAAAATCCAGCTATGGGGTTTTGATCACAGGACGAGCCCCTTCGTCAGCAGCACAGCTGACCCCGTCTGTGAAGTGGAGAACGGCATTGTAACCTACCCTCCGGAGTTCAAATGAGTATACACGTATGGTTTTCATGCGATATAGTTAACACAGTTTAATTAATTTCACTTCCTTCCAGCAGGTATTCAAAATTCTTTTTGCCTCAGTTACCTAAGAACCAAAATTCTACTGTGGTTACAGTGTAAAATTTCTAATTTCTACAAGGGGACACGTGTCTGAAATGTGTCAGAATGGGCAAATGGGAACCGCCATGTTTGGATCTCAGTAGCAGTTGCATATTCTTAACCAAACATATATGGGGATGTTGTGCCAAATGCATTTAGAATGAACAAAGGACAACTGTTAGTGCGCCTTAATTACCAAACTCTTGCCTAGTGAACGAATGCTCCACCGAATGAGTCACAAAGAGCACGGCTTCAGTTGCTGTCGGTTCGCCACATATCTGAATAGTGAGTGACCGACTGGTGACTCTCTGTGGCAAGTCCGTTTCGTAGAGAGCCACTTGTGGTGCAACCTATGGCCCAGAGCGACATCGTAGACAGCCAAGTTTATGGGTCATCCGTCCGATAAGTTTTCCTGTCCACACTCAGACATATATTATCGTCCATGCTACATGTATTTGAACCTCATGGTGCAAAATTCACCGAATCTTTTTTTGCCTCCAGTCGAACACTTTTGCTTCGATGCCTATAACTTGACGCATCCAGAAGAATGAGTTGAACCAACCGTAAGTTGAACAAGAAAAGATGTAACCTTATTCCCATTGCGCATTATTCTGTTATGCGTGTGCTTTGGTGTTGCCTCACGATCAAAGTGGCGGTATGCGGTGTCAAGCTGAACACATGGTATCAGCCCAACTAAAAAAGAAACAGATGGAAAACGAGCACAAACTCTAGGAAGGTCATGACACTTGTGATGGCTATGGGGGAGTTACGTGACCAAAAATGGTGACCGTTAAAGGAAGGAAAACTCGTAGCCGGCGAAGCAACACATAAAACTGCAACTCGAGCCTGTTTAATCGTATTGATTCTGAACACATATTATTTGGAGCATCCTTATGAAACAATAGTCTCACCACCATGTTTAAAGTGAGGATAAGTGATTATAATCTGAGTAAACTGGTTACAACCTGAATACCATCGTCCACAAGATAAGAACGTGGGATTCTCATGGAGAGTGACTCAATTATTTCCGATTGCACAGTTGCAGCCTAGCACATCTCTCTCTCTCTCTCGAGCAGTGAATTTCAACAGTTCTTGGACTTCTGTATCTTAACGAATTAACACCCTATGGCAGTGTTGTAGACATCCAAGCCTACCTCCCAGTGAAATGTGACTAATTAACAAATTTCCATTTAAACGGTGAAACCTAGTGAGAAAAAGGTGCTACCGAAATGGAATCGGATTCTGTTCCCGGAATTTCTGGGTAACCCATTTCATCTTGTATGCGATATTCGTTCTAGGTGGATTTGTTTGGTGAGACAGTTTGTGAAGCACTAGTTCTGTCATACAACACGTCGGTGGAATGGACTATTGAAGTTGCCGTTCATTTGGTCTCCAGCTCCATTAATTTAAGTCACCGTGCGAGACAGTGCCCCAATATCCACCACGGAAAGCACATTTTTTTAGAACACCCTTAGCATTAAGCCTCCAGATCACAAATTACTTATAACCATACCTGTTTCAAGGTGAAGCAAACACCTCAACAGAATCACCACATGCGTTTTCTGAAGTGCGGAATGGAGAACGATCATATCTTATGGAGTGAGTTGACAATAAACCCATCTTCAATAAAGATAAGCGTCTGTGAGAAACAGCAAAGTTTCACTTTGATATCAGTTGAAATGAAGATCATGATCTCCATTTTTATAGATCATTACCTAAACTGTCGTCTTACATCTGCCTACCCCTCGAAAACGTCACTAGTAACAACACTGCCATCGACAACCTCCAGACGAGTGTAGCGAATTTCACAAGTCATGTGATGAGAATCCACTTACGGAGATTTGTAGGTTAGTCCACCAGAGAAAAATACTAAAAAGTGGTCAAGACAACGCACCGTCCCGAGATAATCAACCCAGAAACTGTTAGATTCTGCTAAATGTTTAATGATATCCGTATTTTTTAGTTTCAGCATTATCCTGAATGTTTATCACATGAATTCTTCCATGATTGCTGAGGGGATATGAATGTTGTGTGTAGTCAATAAAAGGATTTGGCCCAAACCAACCAGTGCTCCTTGAAGGACGATTCATTGATTCAGAAATGATGTACTCCTAATTAGGGGACTTACATTCATCATTTGGTTCACAACTTAGGAGAAATTTAGTTCTGATAAAATAAAACAACTGTCAGCTGCGACAAAAGTAACAGAATCTTACGTAATTGTTGATTTCCCCACATTTAAAAGGTCACAAGAGTGAAGTCGTCTTACCCTATTTCCATGGAAGCAAGCACTTTTTGCTTTGGTCATCGATGCAAGACATGGCATGGAAAGTGAGGCCAACCGAGAGTTATCAGTGGACTTGCCGGGACTTTCGTTGACTCTTGTCTTGTCTTTGCTTGGTGGAGTAACTTTTACTTCAACTTTCGGAAACTGTACGGGAGATATTGAATTATCTGACTGAAAACTGCGACGACCATGAATATTGCGCGATGGAACTCTTGGAGAAGGTGTATCTGGACAAAAAGAAATATTTTTTCCAAAATCAGCGTAAACATCATTATGTCGCCCAAATTATTTGAAGGTATTTGAGACAGGTCCCTATTTTCTTAAGTGATGGTATAAATGTTACTTCCTGCTTCATATAAGACATGGGTGCTTAATCACTCACAGGTACTAACATACTTCGTCCCGCAGGCATAATTCTCAAATTAGTGCACAAGAAAAACAACACCTTGGTACAGAGACTAGTAAGCAAAAATGAAAATTTAGGCCTCTACTGGAAGAATCGGACTCATTTTTCGGAGGAAGGTCTGTCTTCTAGGTTGGAATGCCATAGTTGAACTCTTCTGGAGAATAGTCCCTTTTTGGTGGGCCTCTTGGAAGATTAGTACTCCCCATGGGATGGACATAAGCCATACAAAACTGAAGTGCACAAATGAGTTCCAAGCACGTTCATGCAGTGATTTTAAAACATCTGGCAAGAGAATTTCCAAAACCGAACAGGTGCTGATCTCAAGCCAGACAGCGTGCACCATTTGGGCTTTCCAATGTGTGCTCTCTTCATAACTTAATCGATTGACACAAAACAAAATCTGTGTGTAATTTCTAGTTGTGTCGCATTTAATCAACGTTTAAATGAAGTTGGCTGCTTACAGGACCGATCGGAACAAAGTTGAGGAACATAGGGCGACTGCACGCCACATGTTACACGGTTCTTGCGTCAAAAGGTTCACCTGGCCCGGTATTAGCAAATGGTATACGACCTTGGAAGACAGTTTTATCTGAATTGATGAACGATCCACATGCACACCATTTCAAAGCGATCGCTCTGTCGATGTTTTTAGTATAGTGGTAACCAGTTTTACGTACCTTGTTAGTGAATAACATAAGTGTAGATTCGCCTATATCAAAAAGACCTATCGGGAACTATAGTGTGCCCGAAGATTGCTCGTGGGGACTTTCCATTACCAACTTAAGCGACAAGTTCGGGTCTAATGTGTCTCTGGTGCACTCTTAAGTTGCACGCACAAATCAAGTACGCAGGAAGGAACGTAAGTGTATAATCTCATAAACACGTTGAACTTGGGCTTTGTAGAAATGGGCTGATGCTCTCTGAGATGAATCTGATCTCTTCATCTTAGGTGTGGAATAGAATTACATCCGCCTTCTTTTATGCGATAAGATAAAACAAGGACGACATTCCGCAAGTAGGAGATCACCGCCTGAACAGGATAATTCAACACGACATTCTTCATTTTGGTCACTGTTGGGGAACACTCGCAGGAGAACCGTATTTCGGAACTAGAAGCATGGTGACTACGGTGTGATAAAGGAATTTTTCTTCACAGATACACTGAGTGACCTGGTGTAGCTGAGCCATATTTTAAAATAGCAGATCCTTCGGAATAGCCAAGGTACAGAGCCTTCATTCTGCCAGTTTCCTATCCTCAGACAACGAGTTCTTCTGTTATTTATTTCTCTAATAAAGCTGCCATAAAGTTGAAGAAAAACATCAGCTGGATTGAGTTTAATCTACCGCCAAAACCAGATTATTGTGCAAGTGACTATTGCACAAATCCCGTTGAATTTAGGACCAAGTAGAACATAAGAGTGGTGGAAACTAGGGAACCGTGACCACCCGACAACTCCTAAGAAAGGCGAAACTGGTGGTGGGCTTTCGAAGGGTTCTCAGCAACCCTACGAATAGCAAGTTTTGTCTATAAAACATATAACAGGAAGCTCGCTAAGCTTCTGAGAAGCTAACCCCGAGGCTTCCTGTACTGATGAAGTGTCCACTTTGAGACGTGTTTCATTCTGCATCAAGGTACTTTTGCTGAGAACAGCACGATGAGAGAAACGGGTATAGCAGTAAACCGTGATAAACAAAGGCGGAAATTATAGGTGCGTTAAAAGGAAACTCCAAGTGAAAAGGAAATGGTCTAGCTACCTAGCAGTTTTCATATCAGTATCCAGTACCTAACGCTACTTACATCCATCTTTCGCTGTTTTTCGCTTCGCAGGTTTGCTTTCAAACTTGCCTTCATTTGTGATCATAGCAACCTGCAGGAAAATATATGAACCGTAGCCATTATTCTGTCAGTTTTAGATATCTTACCTACGTTATGAGGTTTCACTCACCACAAACGTGTATTCTGTGTCAGGTCGAAGTCCAATTAAGCGGCAGTGCTGTTCTGTCCCTGAATAGACTGGTGATTTCCCCTGATTCATGTAAACTTCATATCGCATAATGCGCCCTCGAGTGTACTTTGGTGGCTCCCAGTTAACGGTCACTTCAGAACGACCCAGTACTGTAACAATGGGTTTTTCTGGCCAATGTGGACCTTGTGTGAGAAAGTACGATAGCAGAAGAATGTATGCCCTTCAAACAGTGATGGGTTTTGTTGGAAAAATCCTGTCTCACTCACTTGTTCATATCGATCCACCATTCTACCGATCGCGAGGGATATGATCATTATTTCCAAACAAAAAATGGAGATTATGACTCAAATAAAGAAGCTTGGAGAACCATTTTTTACATTCGTTTTTTAACTACACAGCTGAACAAAACTCGGATCTCCACTCAATCCCAGATAGTAAAACCTGAAATGCTTGGGTCATGGCCAAGCCAGTGATAGAAACCGGGGAGAATTTGGGCACAAAATGCCCATGTGAGAAATGCTTTAGCTACTTCCTGGTGGGATATCACGGCACAACGGGAAATAAGATGCTGAAAGCACTTCAGTGCAGTGATTACTATTTTCCAAGCAAACGATTTGCAAGGGCGATATAGTTTCTCCTATCTGGGAATCCAACTAACAACGCGATGAGACAAAATCCCTCAAAAACCACTACCGATTCGACTGTTTGAGACTGATCTCTAAAGTTAAGAGAAACGCGACACTGTGTCGGAAAAAACCTTTTCATCATTGAAATAAGGCTATTTCTTTGATTTTATGCGATAGTTATTGTAGACGGTGATGTAAGACAAATTTGCATGGATTTTTTTTTGGATAAAATAATCGCGATCCACTTATTCAGTCTGATAGCGAGCATATAATGGGACCGAGCAAACGCGTTTACTATGTAGGAACTCACAAACCATTGAGAATCTCGGAAAACTTACTTCATCATATGGAATCTATACGAAGAGACTCACTAGGGTGTCACAGCAATATAGATACCCCTAAAAGGCTCGTTGTCCAACAGATGGGTGGAACGTTACCAGGAGTGGTGAGGCGGGACAACGAAAACCCGGTGGTCACCGTGGAGATGCCTTATTGAAATAGCACTTCAGAAGCCATTCGAAAGCTACTTAGGTATTACGATGGTTAAAACTCTTCCGAACTGACGACTACTTACAACGACACCTCATGAGGATTAAGGACCTCGTCGAACCAAAACACCGCACGAACTGCGTCCACCGAATTCCCTGCGCAGAATGTCCGACCTAGTACATAGGCCGGACAACCAGGCAACCCCATGTGCGTTTTCCTCTGCGGAACCCGATCGAGTTCAAAAAACTTGAGCACGACTCAGCCTTTGCTCCTCACGCACTTGAGTCAACTTCCATAGTCCACGTACAATTCAGTCAGGATTTAAGTCACACATGGGACGGGCGTGCCCTAGAGATCAACACACAACCGAACTGTATCGACCCTAGTGATGGCACTAGCGGTCCGTCTGTCTGGATTGGACCTACTGCACACCTTGGTAGACATAGTAAGCACATGTCAAGCAGGTTCCTCAACAATGACACATCACAGCCGCTACGGCAACAAACAGAAACACGTCCTAATCATGGTACAGAGAATCACGCGTACAAGCACACGGCCACGACTACATAACTCGAATAAAACTTTAACGTGTTTGCACGCTTTCGAGTACAATTCATCTATCGAAACTCTCCACCGTCCAAAGATGGGAATATCAGATATGACCCACCTCCTTTAGGGCCCTGTTACTTGACCGGAAACAACTGCAGAGATCATTATTTCATCAACAACTGATGCTTAAGATGTGAACAGTCATGCAGCAGTAGTTGTTCGTGTGCCTAGAATGTAACAAAATGTAGTCAGCTGCACTCTGAGTGAAACAGGCCGTTTGTCGGCTGGCTGCTGGCAGTATTGATGGGTTGATATGCCTTACCCACTGGGTTCATAAAGCTTCCCATACCTGCAGAGATTTTCTCGCGTCTTCTGTTTTTGAAAAACCAGTCATAGCATTTCTAAAGCATGAATCCCAAATAACCGACAAGTTTTATGCTTCAGGTATGTGGGGGAAAACGTTCCACAGACTTGTACATGGCTTTGGGCATCAGGCGTTACACAAAACTGTATTTGTACTGTAATCCATTGTCCATGTGGGTGTGTGAGATACTGTACTCCCTAAATGTAAGCTTTTGTAGATGTTTTTAGCGTTGTTTTCAGGTGGTTTCAAGGGCAAATCATTCATTTGTAAATGACCAAGATTCGTTTCGAAGAGAACTGCCTTATTCAGATCGGGAAGCCTGTTATTAGATATACCAATTGTATTTGAGTTCATCCTGCGGTTGACTCAATTTTGCAGATGCTCTGTGACAGACTGTTACTCCAGTTTTTTCTGTACAGTGTAGACAGAACGGGATATAAAATGAACCCAAAAAAGTTGATCGCCTGTGAGGCAGCTGAGATAGTAATCACATTACATCCTGTCATATTTTTTAATGAAAGTCGACGGAGATTGGGAATCGTTTGTTGACTTGTTTAAGAAAAACTTAATAATACCAGAGAGCCTTATCTCAACCATTTTGAAGGTATCCAGTGAGAAGTTGAAATCAGTTCAGCAATATGAAAAGTGACCGTATAATCTGTTACCAGATAAATTTGATCTCATCTGCACTCAGTGTTCGTCCGGTAAATGTAAACTGCTAATTCAAGCTTATTTGATTTATTTTCAAAAGTGTTCTCTTCCTCACTCTTAAGCAAAGACGCTATACTCCGATAAACTCCCGGAGACTAGTTTACTAGTAACTATAATCACTCAAGGTCACTGGTAAAGACACGTCGATTCATCCCTTACCTGTTTCCAGAGTTTGTAAGGACAGTGTAGCTGCTGGTCCGGTACCCTTTCCATTCACAGCACTCACCTATTAGCACACGAAAGACGGTGGCGTAAACAGCAGAGAAAAACTATGGTACCATAAAAAGATAATATATTGTAAATTAATTTACGTTGTTCTTTTTCCAGACAACTGATAACTGAAGTAATATTTTCATACCGAGTATGTTTATGCTTCTAAAAGGTATGGCACAACTAGATTCGTATATAGGCTCAGTTGGAGCAGCAACGAAGTACAGCGTGAGATATCGACACATGAATCACTTACTGCCAATCACAACATCAACACGTGAGATTTACAGGCTGGAAGTACCCGGACAATAATGGTTGATATACCAGGTCCCGGTGTAGAAGGAAAGATTGGTTGACGTGCATGGTAACGGAAAGGCTTGAATGGATACTTTTTGGTGCACTGTGTAGTTTTTTTGTTTGATTAGAATCGTTTGGCAAGAACGATCTTCTTTAGATCTTTGTTCAATTTTTTGACAGTGACTAACCCTGTAATCACTAATTCACAGTTGCATACCCACGGTTGCGTGTCACTGTTCTTGAAACGTGTGCTGGAAGCCGCATGATTTTTCAGGAAAAGTTCAGCCATAAATAGAATAAAACTGATTCGTCCTTCTCGCAGTTATTTCACAGCAATTACAGACGCAATGCTAAATGACCTTTGGCGAAGAGTGGACAGGCTTAGTATTGGACTGAGCTTTCAATACTGGTCTTCTAGGTACAAGAGTTAGGCATGAAGGTGCAGCTAAAAACATGTCAGTTAGAATTATGAATAAGATCGTATGCAATACTGTCGCCCCCAGAGGGTAGGCGCAAGTGGACAGTATACCTGAATCGTGTGACGATCATATCAGATAAACCACTTCGTTTGTTGTGTAGGATGAGGAATGTGGGACCTATTAGCATACAGGATAATCTAATTATTCACTAAAAATTGTTGTCATCAGCTACAGCTCTGGCATCCAGTGGTGAAAAAACAGTTAGAGCATCAAGCTTCACACGCACGGGACTCACCATAACGGTGTAGGTGGTATTCGGCAATAATCCAGAAATAATAGCGTTGGGCTCCATAGCCTTCTCACTATAACGTATGTCTTCAAGAGGTTGGAATGAAACTAATCTCCCCAATACCTACTTGATGAGAGCTTTGACTGAAGACCGTTTGACCTCATTCTTGGACTGTTTGGACGTTTTTCCGCACATTCTGAAACAGCGATATGGTGCAAATGAATGACTGTACACTCTGTTGCATACTCAAAAGGCTTCATAAAAGTTCGCTCGTGGAGATTCGTGAAACGTTGATCGCAATGAGTCGCAAATTAGCTTTATTATACCATTAGCGTATGGCAGAAAAAAAACAAGTATTAAAGTGCTGGGGTGTGTTCAAAAAGAATATGCCTCTGAGCAGAATGAACATATTTTTTGGCGCAGCAGATATGGAATCTCCTTAGGGGTGTAATAAAATTGCAGAGCATTTTCGCTACACATAGCAGCTTGTGAATAACCCAGCGTTGTCTTCCTGAGTTAAGGTAATTGTTGCCCCGACGTAGTTGTATTGGTGTGTGATCAACTGATTCTCGATATGTATTGAATCACCCGATGTCTATGAGAGCCATCAAGCTAAACTATTCATTCTTGAGTAGTTTGCCAAAAATTTTAAGCGTAACGAAAAATTTAAGTTATTATGCCGTTCCAGGACACCGGATGTTGGGAGACTGAAGCACGCTTGTCCCTTTCGATATGCATGACATATGGCAGTTTGACAGTTCGTCTCTTCACAGTCAAGTTCTCAGACGGTGCGGTCGGATATATGCTTACCTTAAACTTTTCATTTGGACTTTTCATCTGGACCGCCTACTGAACGCGGTTGCTACTAAAAGTGAAATCAGAGTACTTTGCTAAAAGCAGAGATTGGATAATGAGCTGGAAGCTTTTGGCTCGAGTCTTTTTTAAATTCAGTCAAACAATTTCTGACAAGATAAGCATTTCCTCCTTCTAGGGTGTGTCAGCTGAATGAAAGATACCGGTTTCAAAAACAGCTTGCTGGACTCCTCTGGCTGACTCTTCTGTGGCCAGCTATCGTACCACTGGTACTTGAGGAATGGAGAACTTGGGTTTTTGGACAAAACCAGCAATAAGTAGCCCATCTAGGGAATTCAACTAAACATCATGACAGCATACATCTGAAACTTTTCCTTTGTTTTTCCATTGAACGTCCCGAAAAATGAAAGCATTAAGCTGAACCTGGTGTCGCTTGTTGCGTCGAATCAGAGAAACGAAATGACTTCTGACTTTAAATAGTAGGAGGATTCATTAGGGTTGTAATGAAAATCTTGGCGCGTTCAGGGATGAAAGCCTGTATATTCCAACCTCGTATAAATCCTGGTGGTGTTCTACATTAGAGAGAGTGATATTACTGTAGGCCATCTAGTTGAAAATGGGCAAATGTCGTTCCCGCGATAACTGGCGATAACTGAATAATCATAGTATCAGGGGGCTTTTATGAATTCAGCTTTCTGGACAAATTTTACAGAACACATTTGATAATGACAACAGATAACGAAAGTAGTGTGTGATTTATTATGCAGAAATATGAAGGTACTTCAAAGGTAGTAAAATATTACGATCACCAGGATCAGTCAAATTTAAGGGTGGGATGTGTCTAGAAAATTAACGGAACTGTGATAGGTTACCACTTACAGGTAGCCTAGCATACACACTTGACTATCTTAATATAGACCAAATGAAGAAATCGATCAGAGCACTATCCCTTGATTGGTGATCTTTCCTTAAGATTCTTTCATCTATGATGGTGGTGTCTTCATTCAGTATTATATAAAAATCTTTTCAGTCGATAATATATGTTTGTCGCGTCACGCTCAAACTTCTGCAGATGCCCCGATTCTCCAAAAAATTTCCCCAAAGACAAGACAGCTCACATGTGGTATGAGGGCACATACCCACATCCAGAGCTGCTCCTCTCATGCCCCCCACTGCCGTGATGGACAGGTGTTGTATCCTACCTCTATTCAAATAATATGGGAATGTGAAGTACATAGAAGCACCTAGACTATAGACGCATTACTTACGGTCCTCTTTACTGCGCGGAGATAGATAATGGCACCAGCACAGGCGAGAACCATTGAAAAACTCCACGACAGTTTATAGGTTGATCAAGTGAAGTTGACTCATTCACCTAGAGTCTGAAGATCACAATGACGCAGTTTGATTCAAACAAAAGCGAAGTTAAAGCTTGCAGATTATGTTGGTGTTAACAACAAAATTAGTGATATTCTTCAAATGAATTTTCTCTACGAAGACCACCTCAGTTCATACACTATCCGAGGTATCACAGCCACTGTCTTTATAGGTCTAATTAAGAGTTATTAAGGTGTAGAACGCGTTACCACATAATAACTTGTGACCGCCGGACAAACGGAGGAGTCAAACAGAGCTTCACTCACCAACACGCACCGTGTAATGATGGAGAGATCCGTTTAACTGTATCGGTGGAGACCAGATTAGCCGAACCTGATTGGTTGTAACGGTTGCCGCATGAAGGTCAGTTGGTGCTGACGGAGCTATGCAGAAAAACAAATGTGCAATATTCGCCTGGAGTTAAAACAGAAATGCATTGGGATTTCTTTCTGAATATGCATAATACCCTTATAAGAAAACTATCGAAAACAAGATCCTTCGACGAATTTTGATAATGAACCCTACCTCCAGGTAATATACACTGGAGAACGAGACACGTGCTTTCTGTGACCCAATAAACCAAAAAATTTGCAGTTTTCGTCACCATCGACTAGGATCGTAAATTTGCTATCAGATGAAAACGTTTTGTGTACTCACGGGTAACGTAAAATATGACATTGACACAAGTGTTCTTCCGAAAACACCAAGTGTGATATTAGGGAAAACGTACTGATGAAGAAAACCGTAAGCGTATTTTAACATACTGAAATTCACACCCTATCAAACCGAATTTCTAACGACTAAAATAGCCTTGGATTATCCCAACCTTATAACAAATAATCAGCCAACTCAGCTGTGCTGCTTAAGAAGGTAAGAGGAATGGCACAAATCTTATCAGCTACTCTTTTCGGGAAAAAATGTCCCGAAGAACTCATCTAAGAAACCATCCAGTTATTTTCACCTTGAAACCTATGGGGAATGTCTACGAATCATAGTTCTCCCCATTTCTTTTCTTCCTGTTGGTACTCATCACATAGCACTGCACCTGCAGCTCTGTATTGGCCGGGAGTGAAACAAGTTGCTCATAGGATAATTCCACTGGTCTGAGCAATGAAGAAGCTAGAAAAGTTCCTAGAATTCTTGGGATTAGGGACTTGCAACATCGTTTTATCGTCGCGCTTCAACTAAGCGATTTCGCTAAGGGTTAGATTAGGTATCTTTACCAGCCACTATGGCATAGACAAGGGCAAACTATCGCATCAGTTTATCGACAAGCGTCATTAGGAGCAATCAATGTGAATTAGAATCGTCATCATGGACGGCAAGATGTTGCAAGAGCAACCATCAGAGACAACCAACCGGATGGAGACTCATGAAAGGCAACGCACAAGATCACAAACTTCCGAAGCACCCGGAGTGCGCTTGCACAGCTCAGTAGAGGAGCTAGTCAGAATCGCCACATATTATGACCCATTGGTATCACTTCTGCAGACTAAGCCCGATGACGCCGTTAGATACATTTTGTTCTGCAATGGACTGGTTCGTTTTCTTGCGAAAATACAGAAGGCATCTAGGTAGCCAGGATGGAAAGCGTACAGTATCATGGCTTGAAATAGCCACTCAGAGCATATTTTGAGCCTGTTCTGCTGCGCATCAGGGTCAGGGAGTTAAAAGTACAGGTTGTCTGGCATTACAGGACAGCAGCAGTTTTTCATGGAAGTGGTCATGTAAAATGTGGAGCTAATTAGCAGCTCAAACCCAAACCCTGTCGATTCCGCACACATACCGGTGGATGATGGCGAGTGTGCACTTTCGGTTATGTTGCAGCACATTGTTTCTCTTCATAAAAAGGCTGCTTAGAGTAGCATTTTTAGTGAAAGGTAATTTCAAGTTTCAATCGATATTTTGTCCTGTAAGTGCGGTCACTCTATGCCAAAAAGCACTGTTTCATTCTTTTTTAGAAACATCAGTATCAGGCATCTCACAAGTCACTAAGCTGGTTTAACCTCGCGACCTTCGGACGATTAGTTGAAGACTAAGCCATTGGGCTAAGAATAGTCAATCAGCCATGTGAATAAGTCACATTCTGGCGGGATCAGCGCCATCCAACCTTCAACCAGGGGATTCACATTCACTGGTCGCGGTCAACCATTAGTCGTCCAGTGACAGAGCAGTGACACGACAGATGTACCTCGCAACCAAAGTAACCTAGGCCCTAAGTAAAACAGAAAAATCCTAATAACATCAACTGAGAGTACTAGTACTCACTTGCTTCTTCTGTCCTGAATACAGTCGGTTCAGATAGTGGTCCTTGTTCAACATCATTCGAACACCGCAATGTGATGAGATACCTGGTATAAGGCTGAAGATCCCGAACTCTTGTTTCGAGGTTGTTTCCAGAGTATACCAACTTCCATTCAGCTGAAAAAGAATAAGGTGCCTTTTAAAGTACTTTAGTGTTGTTTGACTGTATGGAACTTCATCCACTAAACAAATAACTCGCTTTTATGACCTCTTGGCTTTTCGGCTGTAACAGCTTATCGGTATAGGTTTGCATTTGGGGGTGTTCTTCATATTTATTCAGCTCGTCTCGTCAAGGAAGGTAGAGTGACACACCCCACATCAAACACTTACCTGTCTGGTAATGTAATGGACGCCAGCCAACTGATCAATTACCCACGTGTCTGTCAGATATTCCCATGTTGTTGCATAAAACCTGATGTCTCGACCAGTTATTTTCGATAAAGTCTCGACTGATAAATGTAGTTAGAAACGGAATACACGACGAAAATAACTGCAAACAAGAGGACTGGGTAGCGAAATTCCGTCCTGACTACTTTACTACAAACTTCTCCAGGGTGTCCAGTTCAAGTTTGCGCCACCGAAATTGCACCTCCTCAGACCACCATCAATCTGTAAGTAGCTCAGAGGAAGAATAAATACACAGGACGAGTGAGACTCATCTAAGACGTCATCACTGGAGGAGCCCGAGAGGAAGGATAAATACACAGGACGAGTGAGACTCTCATCTAAGACGTCATCACTGGAGGAGCCAGTCGATTCGTTACCACGTGAAGGTGAGCTCTTTGATTTGAGAATGAGCGGTGCTATCTCCTTCCTAAGTGAAACCTGATCACAGTGCCGTCCAGGTACTGGAGACCAAATGGATAACCGTTCAAGCTACCAGGCTGAAGGTCACGTGTGTTTTGTAAGATACATATGGGTGATGATTCCTAATAGGAATGAAACGACTGCAGCATTGACTGGTTCCATCTACGAAGGGTGTTTCGTGAGATACATATGGGTGATGATTCTGTAGTAACGGTATTTTCTTAATAGGAATGAAACGGCTGCAGCATTGACTGGTTCCATCTACGAAGCGAAATCTTAACAGAAAATTCCCATTTGAAATTTGAGTTGCTGTAGACAGAAAACTCAGCTGAAATTCCCCATTATCTCCTGTTTATTCCGTTCCACAACGGAATTTGCTTGTCTAAGGCTCTTCCTACTTGGAAACGGACCACATTATTCCTAAGTAGACTTGAAAAACTTTTTGACGGTCAACAACCGGCTTTATTCTTTTTGCACTCAAGTAAAACAAGGTTGGCGGAAACTCGGGTACTGCACCCACCGGACGAACCCCAAGAAAGGTGAAACTCATATTGGGCTATCGAACAGTCTTTACCAATGTTGTGAATAGCGTGTTATGTCAGTAGACGAACCCCAAGAAAGGTGAAACCCATATTGGGCTATCGAAGAGTCTTTACCAATGTTGTGAATAGCGTGCTATGTCAGTAAAATATACTGAAATCGTCCCAGTCGACACAGGAGATGGTCTTTGTGCAACAAATTCACTTTAAGAATACCACAAAAGAGATTAAGCTGAGCCCCGCTTAGAACCAGATTAGTCATTTTCACACTGATTACATTTTACAGATGTCCTCCAAAGTTCATTTTGCAGTTGATGACTGCCGGTTGTCAATTTAGGTTTGGCTGTTTATTCACAAATTAATTTAGTGTTACAGGGTTACGACGTTATACTTCTCATTCATAATATTCTTCAGCAAAACACGTTGATTATAGGCCGCCTCATGTTTCAGCTGAAACTATGCTCAAGATATCGGGGTATTTTCTGGGAAATGACACTAGTTAACAGCTTGACAGAAGCTTTCCTACAGTTCACCACCGATCTGGTCCTTTTTTTAAGTGCTTATGGATGTGGCTCTATATGGGTTTTTTTATTTTGGACCCCATCAAAAAGTTTTCTAGATTAATTAGGCAACCATGTCACTTACAAGTGCCTTCAGCTTGAAAATAAAGCTGATAGGTAACTTGATAACCGTTTGGTGCCTCCACATTTGTCCATCGAACCAAGGCAGACGTTGATCCATAAGCTGAAAAGTTTAAAGTTGCAGCCATCTAACAATGAGGGTGTGTGGGTTCCTGAATAATCGATAAAATTGTTAGAGCTCGAATAAAAATAAACAGGAAGAAAAGAAAAGACAGTTCCGCTAAACCCAAATAGCTGCTAGATAACTTCTGAAAATTTGGGTGTCGTCTCTCAGATGATAAGAACTGTTGGGAAATTCGTCGGTATTCCTTATGCATATGCAGAGGAACAGATCTGTCTATGGATTCAAAAGCTTTTTTAAGGTCAAGGAAAAACAAAACCGTTTGCTGGGAGTGTGAACGGCCCTGCCCAAGCAGTTGACGTAGTGTGAAGATGTTATCAATTTATTTCCTACTAGGGAGGAAATCTATATGCTACTTTGGGGTTCGCGTCTCAATTGTCGGGAATAGATGTGTTAGTGTTTTGAAGCATCTGTCGGATACCTGCCTGGTTGAATCAGTTGCATAGTGTGCCATTTTTGAATGGAAATGTGATGACTGATTGAACCGTCTTGTCTGAAACGAGTTTGCCTTCAAAAATGAGTTCAAGTTGGTTAGTTAAAGCAGAACCAAAGAGGTATCACCGCTTGTAAGTAGTATTGGTGGAAGCTCATCTGGTCCGGCAGTCCCGTGGCATTTAAAGGTAGAATGGCATATCAATAGTTCACAACCAGTGGAGGATCCAAACTTACGCAACAGTGCAAGTGTGAACCAGTCAAGTGAAAGACAGAGGTATAGATGTAGATAGAGGTGAAAAGGTAGACAGGTAGACGACGAAACGTTTGTTAAAATATTCTGTCTAGCGATCTAAGCGCTGAACTTTATTGCGTATCATATTTTCAACATCATCTTTGATTAGCTTGCTACCAGACGGTCACAGAGATGCTATTTCACGGATAAGCTTGAACGACTTCAGTGTAATAACTGCTGCAATAGCCTTTTCGCTTTCATGAGCTTTCTGGACGTAATCCCTCCCTATAAACAGGCAGACACAACAGACATTCTAGCGGAACGACGGTATGGTCTCGAAAGTATGCAGCGTCTTTTGTTAGGAAGTGGTAGCAAACAATGTGAGATCTCGTTGTTAGTTTTTGCGCGCGTGGAACAACCACATGACAACTCTCCGGCGTCACATACTGCATTCTTTATCTCTTCCGGTTTATGACCGATGTTTTTTGTGAAGGTTGCTTTTGAATCAACACAAAGCGTGTTTTGATATGCTCGGCCGATTCCTGGCTCAAGAAGCTTCTCAACCGCTAAAAGGTGTTCATCCTGGGCATTCAGCGAAAATCCGCATCGGACGAGAACATGTCCCGAATCAACAATCGTACCCCAAAGTACTCCTTATTAAAATGCCTCACCGTCGGCAGCTAGCGTTTACATGATCGGCTTGGCTCTACGGTAAAAGTTCTTTACTATACTAGCCTATTCCCGCCAAGCAAATGTCCTCATCAATGTGTCATGCGGAACTTGGAGGGGTCTAGAGTCAAATCGCAATTCATTCGTCCCACTATTTGCCAAAATACTAACCACAACGGTCAAAGGACGGAGTTTGGTCTTTTGATTATCTTCTGAATGTAGAGAGATTAGTTACTAAGCGGCAGTGGTAGTAATAATGACTTGAACAAATAATTTGTTCGCACCAGCATCCACGGAAGTGACACGCGTCTCACACCATCGACTCCACAGGCGAGTATGACTGTTAGTTAGCATCTTCATGATGATTTTACCTTATTCAACTTCATTTTTTTATAAAGCCGAATGCAGTGTGTGAATTTCAGAAGACTTAACATATGCGCTTTGTCTGTCGGAAAGAAACACATGATAACATAATAACACCGAGTTCCGTTGAGCCCACTGGAGGACATGTTCATCGATGATCAAGATACAAGTTGTCAGTCAGGATCAAGTGGCGGTATCGCAACTACCCTAACTACTGATGGAAGAGTCACGCCTTATCAACCAAGAACAACATGGAGATCTCCATAAGACGATTAGTAGATTTGATATATGACTACTTAGCCACCACCGCCTATACACTGAAAGCTACTACAAATCTTAGACTTAAGTCTAAAGAACCAACGGCTGTCATCATCAGTTTGACTCAGTCTGTTTCAACAATGAAAACCTCTCGAAACACTTCCTAAAAGTTCCCATTGTTTGTGCGAGCTAAATGAACGAAGCCGAATTTAACTTGCCATTATGAACAATACACAGGTCATAAATACCAGATATACAGAATTTCTCATATCGAAACTTACCCACAATGCGTGGCCTTGGTGGGGCCGAGAGAGGACTCATTAACAGGAGTACTGTCCTGACTTCGTTCAAAAGTTCTGGTGTCGCTCGAGGAGACACCAAACAATCCTAAGAATTCATTAGGAGATTTTTTAGGTCGAAACGTGAATCAGGGGCAAGAAACACACGATTGTGAATTGAAATTAAACGCATGGATTATCAGAAAACATTGGATTTAATTTCCGATTACACTATTGTTATTCCTGTACCAGCAGCTATACGTTGTCGTCTCACACAGCAATTTCCTAAATCTGTGGATAGATTTAAAAAGATAAGAAGTTTCTCGTCTGATATCGATGCTGCCCATTTTCACGCGAATGTATCAAACTGCAAGCGCATATTGGATGTCTGTCTATTACCACAGTGGGCGAATTCGATCTTTAATGAACTCTCAAGTAGTTGTGCTTCGAGGCGACAAAACCTGTTGTTGCTGCTGCTTGAAGAACGGTTTGGTTTGATCGGTTTTCTTGAGTTATTTTCACTTAATTTAATTTTTACGAGCAAGCAATATAATCGACATTCTTCTGGAGATGTTCCAGGCAGTTCAGGGAATCATATAAAGAGTGCTGGAAGACAGTTAGTTCAGTGTTTGCTTAATATTGCTATTATCTCCAATGTGTATGGGCCGGAGTCTAGACACCCTCCGTAGTCTTTACCAGACATTACTGAACAGATCAGTTGGATGGCAATGTGGTCTTATACCTTTTAAACTTTGAGCGAAGTTGAGAACATTGAACTTTAGTTCACATTCCTTTGGATGCATCTGAGCTCAAACCATAAGGTGCAACTATTTATAGCACCTGTTATTTTGTTTAACGTTTAGTTTAGGCAATGAACCTCTTCCTGTGTATAGTTTTGGTTTGGCTTTAGAAGGCTAATCAGTCAAGTAACGAAAGTGTAAATTTAAAGCTGTTGTTGAAGCGACAAAGAAGGTGTCTGACTATACAACCACGTTTCTGCTTTACTTGCTCAAAGATTCCAGGTGGGTTACAGTAATTCAATCTTCACTTCCACATCTACTATTCATCATTTTATCTTCGACCGACGTAACTTCAATAAAAACTGAATCAATATATCCCCAATGATAACCATGACGTCAATTTAAAATACATCTTCAAAATGGTACGACTAACCTGTAGTGCCACCATAAGTGGCTGATACCGGCGCAGAATCACGAGGCCTTTCATCTGACTAATCAGCGAGCGGACCACCCTTCCAACAGAGGGAACATTGCGTAGCCAAAATATGGAGAAGAAAAGTTGATTATATGTTGCTGACTAAACGTGAAACTTATTGACGAAAATTGTGTGAAAGTTTCTATGTGTGCAACTGATCGTTGACAGCTTTGAGACAATTCTGAATCATCACTTTCAAAAAGTTAGATAATAGGGACCGAAAGGGTTCTGGGTACAGAAGTTCATGTAGCATGTAGATACGCCAAGCATACGTTTTTGTTAGGGTAGCTCTGTCCCATTCGGACAGAAGTCGGGACAGATGCCCTCATTTGTTTTGATTAGCTGATCGACCCAATCGGTTACTGTTATTTGATTCTTTGACAGCAAATCTCTTAAAAATACCGCATTTCTGCCCAAGAGCAATACCTGATTTGTGTAGACAGGCTAACTAGTTTTTAATGATATACCTATTCATATACTTGGTGGGCACATTCCAAATTTGGGAGTGAGTGGTAGACCTGTCTACCGAGTTGCCCAAGTTCTTCTCACTTCTGCCAATCCATTTGAAACTGATACGTTTGTTAGTGCCACTCAATAGCTTTTCTGGTGGATGTGTTTGTAAAACTGAGTCCAGAATATGTTCGCCTGAATACTATCCTTCACGTGTAGGTCCTTTGAAAAACAACACCGTTGGGCTAGAACACACAGTCCTAAAAGCTTTCATGGTGCTAAGTGTTTTGTCTCTGTAGCTTTTTCTCATAATTGATGGACTGGAAAACCACTGTGCCTAAACGGTTGCGGGGTAAAGTGAACTTGTCCAAAGAAGTGTGCAATACTCTAAGAAACAAGTCCTTTTCCTAAGAAGCAATAGTTACCCGTGTTTTGGAGCAGGTGGTAGAAATGACTGGAAACACATAGGCTAATAAAGCCCTCAATTCTTTCCTAAAATGCACTTTTTAACACTGTAGATAATTGTAAAAGTATTTGTCTGGTCACAAAACATATTTTGGTTTGGTTGCGGTGCTTGCGTACATTGCCGCAAACCAAGAGGTTTCTACATTGGTCACGTTCAACAGTCGAGCCAATGTAGTATTTGTCTGGTCACAAAACATATTTGAGTTTGGTTGCGGTGTTTACGTACATTGCCGCAAACCAAGAGGTTTCTGCATTGGTCACGTTCAACAGTCGAGCCAATGAAGCTAGAGCGCAACAAGGTTGCACATCATTGTCTTGCTGCTCAGCTGAAACATCCGGAAACTGTCGACCATCGTCTCCCTCGCAGGTGAAAAAGTAGTCGTCACCCGTAAAGAATTTCGGAAATCGAAAGATCCAGTCATGACCCTCGTGTGTGCCGGCCAAACAGCTGAGGCAGAAGCAGGCATTCTTGCATGCACCCCAATTGGATCCAGCCAGTGGAACATCGGCGAGCATGATTCTGAGACCAGTAAGCTGAGTAGACAAGAGTACAAAAAAGACTACATTCAACAAAGAAGTGAATACAAGTAGGCATCAGAAAAACGCAAATTTTCAAAATAAATCGGTATTTGGAATCCAATTGGACTCAACAGCTTTCCATTCTCAATTCAAACTAGCATAAACCAGCGGATGCGTAGCTTGTCAGCGGGTTGTCAGAAGGGAGAAAGTTTGAGGGCGTTGGTCTGATCCGCAATGATGTCTCCATGACATACTCGGAACCTGGCTAGAGACGTTGCAATACACGACTGCTGGTCAATGCTACCGGCGTCAGCAGTGCAAAACGGTCTGAATGATAACTTTAAGGTGTGTGTTCATAAAAGGATTGTGTTATGCTATCAATAAGATCAATTCTTCCCTTCATTTGCCATGCTCTTCGTTAAGAACCGGTGTTTCTACGCTGATGTTGACGGCCGTGATGTTCACGCAGTTTACCGTTCTATAACCATTCACCATTGTCATTTGCCCAACCACACCATATAGGCCAAAGGAGAGCATTTCGATAAAGTGCAGCATGCCATCGTACAGTAAGTAATTGTGATACAAGACGTTCTTCCTCGGGATGACCGGCACGTCTGGATTCATAGAAGCAGTGGTGCTGCCTTCAGTCGGGTTAAAACTTTCCAGCATTAAAATCCATATATTTCGACATCTTAATGATTGGCCGTGACTTCCTGCTAATAACTCAGTAGGGTACAAGTCGCAGAGTCCGGTGCTGCTCAGAAGTCACCTGGTGTACCTATTTGCATTGAAAGTAAGAGAAATTATGCCGTGTTCCCTTTTTTCTTCGCTTGAATAAGTTGAGCTAAGTTGATCAGACTCATAAGCCACTGGTTTGGAAAACGGTCACTATCGTCGTCATGAGCTGTAACAACCGCGTTCTTGTCATACAGTGGATTTAACCGTTTTGTTCACCGATGATTTTGGGAGGTAGGGTGAATGTCTATGCATTGGAAGCGGCATTTGATCTAGTAGATGAGTAAATACAACCTTGTCAGTGGACATTTCATTGAAAAGTTTTTGGGGAGCTATGCACTGGAAACAATCATTTGGATACCCGAGCATCACTGAAGAGGTGACAGGGCCACGTCTGATAGTGTCTCTAACCATTGATATCTCCCGTACAGGGATCCCCATCCAGAGGGCCACGTTAGTGTCTCTAACCATTGATATCTCCCGTACAGGGATCCCCATCCAGAAAGACGGCAATGACCGACGCAGCTGAGTTTGTTTGTTGTATGGAACGCACAACAGCATTGTAAACTCGACCCTTGACGGATAAGCCGATGTCACGACCATGCCATGGGTAACGCAGGTTCACAAAAGCTGCTCTGGTCTTTCCAATCCGGGTGGAAATTTCATCTTTCGTGAGACCAACGGGACTGATACAGCTGCCCAGGTAAACAAATTTGTCCACTGCCTCAATCGGTTCATCTGCAAGCATGAGGCTAGAGTTAGACCCCACCTAGTCTTGCAGTAGCACTTAACACTTTATAGGGGTGAAGCGCATGCCAAACGGTGAGGCGGAATCATTTAGATTATTTAATGACCTTAACCAAGGTCTTTTACTTAGATGCGACGAAATTAGTTCGACTCTGCCTATCTCTCATGACCAACCCAGTCTTCCGAGTTTACAGGGATCTCTAGCTATCCAGCTTTGTTAGCGTAATGATGTAGTGTAATAGTCAACTCTTATAGTGGG